CAGCAAGTTTGAGCAGAGACCCCGAGCAGTGCATTCAGATACCCCGCAAAGCAGGACTCTGTGGAAAATTGACACGTGCCACCACCTGGCGTCCGCCTGTGGCAGTTACTAACTTTCTACAGTTTTCTTAATCAAAAGTGGTCTAGGTAATCTGTAAAGAAGGATTAAAAAATTCAGATGTTCTAGTTCTGCTTGCTTTGTTTTAAAAATCACTGCTTTAGTCTACTTCAAAAGAATGACATTTCTTTTCTTGCCCAAATTTACTCAAAGTTGCAGTTAGCCCAGAAGGTTTTAAAAAAAAATGTTGTGGTTACCCCCTTTCCCTCTCACAAGCCCTTTAAAACCCCACTTCCACAGACCAAGGCCCCAGTTCCCCCACAAGGGCAGCAGCACCGGCAGCTCTTCTCCTGTGCCACACTGCCTATGGGTGATAGCTCAAGTCCTCCTCATGCCACCTTAGTAATGTCCTTTTAAAAATTATAAAACAGTATCAACAACCTCCCCCTCAAAAACAAATAAATAAAAGAGTCCATGCAAAGGGAAGCTGCGTTTACATATAATTTTAGCAAAGTGTTTCCACAGAAATAGACTCAATGGGCAGATCCCACAGAGCATATCCGTGGTCAGAGTTCCCGTCTCTGTAGGGAACTCTGCAGTACCAGGTTTGTGGTGACCGTGGAGGGAGGATCTGCCAGCAGAGAAAACCATGCTCTTGTGTGATGAGTTCCTCCCCAGAAAGGCTCCTACGGCTGACAGTGAGTAGATCTCCCTGTAGCTGTGGTAGAAGACTGGCTGCTCATCACAAGCAAAAGCCAGAATATCCTTTCGAAATTTCAAGTTTCTCCACCACTGAGCTCTGCTAGGATATGCCACGGAGCTCCCACTCCTCAGCACAGCAGGCCACCACTGCCTCCCTTGGCATGGTTTACCCTCGGCAGGATCAGCCTTGGTAACCTCTGCTTTGTAACCAGCTGCTTCTTCCTCAGAGCAGCTGCTGGTGCAGCCCAGGAACAGGATGGCCTTTCCCCTCCCTCTGGACTCAAAGCCTTTCCAGAGTCAAGCTCCACTTGAAGCTAACTCAATAATATCCTTTCAATGTGTTTTATATTGTTTTGATTGCCTTTTTTTGTAGAAATAAAATTTGTCCTTAGAATTTATCATCAAATGAACTTTGTCAAGATTTGAATGTTAATGTCTTTTCAAGGCAAGTGGGATTGTGCTTGAAGCAGTAGTGACACTCTGAGGAAGCTGATGGCATGACTGCCTGTGTTCACCAACTAGTTCTGCTACTAGGGGTCTAGATCCTGTGGAGAAGATTGCCTCAAGAAACCTTGCTTTCTGCTTTAACCTTAGTTCTATAACTTCAGGGCTACCTAGGGCTCACAGACTTGGAAGACAACTCTGGGCTTTGCCTCTAAAAAAGTGAGACATGTCCTTTCAGGCAGTGTAACATTATTTAGTTTTCCAGTTGTTTGGCTCCTGTGGTGCATAAATGAACTATGCTTTAGTTCTAGGTATGCATGGGGCAGGTTTCTGGAGACTTCCATGTGCCCAGGATGGCCAGAGCACTGGACCTGCGTTTCTACGTCTGTCTCTTCATTGGCAGAAAAGTGACAATGGATTTTATTTCACTCACATTCAGACTTGTAATAAAATGCCAAATTCTGTCAGAATTGTCCAAACCAACCACGATTTGTTCTTGTTGCTTTTCTGAATCTAGAGATAGTTCAGCTGTCTCGTTGCTTAGCTCTCCCTGCCTGTTACACCCCTCACTGCTCTCTGCTCACTACGGGAGGGTACTCTTAGGCCAGCAGCCCCTCTCAGGGACTCTCAGCCCTAGGACTGACAACCATGGCCTGCCCTGGAAGCACGGGCCTGGCTTTGAGTCAGTGGTGTCCCTCTTTGGGCTTGCATGCCTTGCTCTACCCAGGCCTGCCCTGGAGCAGGCTTTTGAGCAAGCTGGCAGGCAGCCCTGGCCGCTCCATACTGCAGTTAGACCCTCCAGAAAAGGAGAGTTCTGTGGAGCAGCCACCCACCCACCCACCCCTGACCCAAGTTGGCTCAGGAATACACATCCCCCTGGTTCCTTGAAGTGCCGGGTCTTGTCCTGCTCTTTCCACAATGGCAGAGAATAGGCTTTCTAAGATGCTGTGACCCCATTCTGTCCTTAATAAAAATGTTCTCAGACACTAGTTTGGATGTATGAGTTTCTTCCTTCAGGGATGGGCATTGCTGGGGGCCAGTTTGGAGACTATAGACTAGTAGTACTTGGACCTCTACTCTTTCCTCCACTTCCACTTCCCAGCTTCTGAAAGAGGCTTACAGGTTGTTCTGTCTTGTCAGATATAAGTAGATGGGGTAGTCAACACTGGGAAAATCGCAGACACATATCACTTCTATCCTTGTAGCCCCAAGAACGTGTTGTTGACTGCAGTTGGCAAAAAAAAAAAAGGGAACAAGTCAAGAGAAGCTCAATCATGGTGTTGGAACTGAAGTGTATTTTAGGCCTTTTCCTTGAATCATAGTCATATCTAGAAATTCTGGGTTCCTAGACAGCTACTGCTAAGGTACTACAGCGATCACCTCGGCTGGGCACAGCACCAACTGGCCTGTGGCATGTGGGCACCTGATGAAACCAGGTGTACCTTCTCATTTTTGTCTACAGATTGTTAGGAATACTTCCTGAAGCATCATTTTATCTTTGTTTCCAGACATTCTTGGGGCACTGCAGACTTTGAACTCAAGATCATACTCCCTTAGCACGATTCACCATCACTTCCTACCTTGTGTCCCTTCAAATAAGTATTTAGTTCGTAAGTCCCATACCTTCTGTATCCTGTTACCTTCTTGTTCTTTGAGGCTCCTGTAGCCAAAGGCCCATTGTTTCCTTACTTCTGAATAAGTTCGTAAGCCACTCAGCCCTGAGAGATTCGTCCCTACACATGCTGTGCAGTCAAGGGAGAAGTCAGTTTGGCTTTTGCTGCCCTGTCCACGCCCAACGTGAGCAAACAGCACTACACTGAGCAAGATGGAGGAAGAGACTGCAGTGCAGCATGGGGCCCAGCCCAGGCAGTGCCTGGCAAATGGCATTTCCTGTAGGACTAGAGTGAGTTGACTGAAGACAATCCTGGAAAGCCAGACAGTACAGACTGTATACCCAGTGCTATGCCCAAGGTCCACGCTTCTAGAGACCCTTCCTTTTCCTCCAGTGTGGCCCATATCACACTGATTTTCCAACTGTACATTGGGCTATATCCCAGCAGAGCAGAACTCAGCCCTATCTTTTATGAGCAGTCCATTGTAGGATCACTTCTAAGAGCTATCTCTAGCTTATAAGGCTGTCCTGTGCTAGGCTTCCCGTCAGCAGCTAGCAGAATGCGTGCCCAGACCACAGGGGTCAAGATGAAGTGAATGGTAACAGCAGACAAAGTTCGCAGACATCAAGGTGTTGAACCTGACCAAGCCTCGGTCAGGGAAGAATATGATAGACTGAAGCATGTCAAGGGAATAAAGGCAAGAGAGGAGCAAGATCACTTCAGAAGTCCACAGTCTGGTCAGGTCAGGTGAGAGCTTGCTGCCCTCCCAGTTCCCCAGTTCCAGGTTGGATGTAGACCATGTTAAATCAGTTCAAAGCCCTGCTTTACAGCTCCCACCTCTAAGTCTGTAGTGGGGGCATGGGACATGCAAGGGCTGGGGACATAGCTCAGTTGACAGGAAGCCTACATAACATGCAAGCAGCTCTGGATGCAAGGAGTTAATCCAAAAAAACATGTTAACTGGGAGTGGCCATGCACACCCCTAATCCCAGTCTTGGGAAGTGGAGGCAGGAAGACAGAAGTTTATTGTCACCATTGTGATGATGAGGCTCAAAGACAGCCTACCATGCATGTATGACACTATGGGCCTAATCCCCACTACCATGAGGTACTCCATCTATCATCCTCAAAAATGGTGTAAGGCTGTGTCCTTCCCCATTCCCATCTACTCCAAGCACACACAACACCCATAAATCATCAGATACAGCTAGAATCCTAGTTTCTCATTTCAGTAGCAGCCTACCTTTCCGGAAAAAATGTAAACACTCCTACATGTTTGTAGAGCCTCTTTCAATGAAATGGCTTGCATATAACAGAGTACCTTGGTTTTTTTTTTTTTGTTTTGTTTTTTTAGATGACTAAAAGTACTATTATGTGTATCATGTGCACTTGCAGATTTGTGGCATTCAGAATGAGGATGACTTCTGGGAGTTTTCTTCCACCAGAGTCCAGTGCCTCAAACACAAGCACTTTTACCCACGAAGTCATCCCCCAGATAACTTCTTCTTTTTAAGATTTATTTATGGGGCTGGAGAAATGGCTCAGCGGTTAAGAGCATTGGCTGCTTTTCCAGAGGACCCTGGTTCAATTCCCTGCACCCACATGGCAGCTCACAATTATCTGGTCTGTAACTCAAATTTCAGTGGATCTGATTCCCTCACATAGATATATATGTATGTCAAATGTACATAAAAATAAATAAATTTTAAAAAATATTTATGTAGTGTCCCGCCTGCACACCAGAAGCGGGCACCAGATCCCATTATAGATGGTTATGAGCCACCATGTGCTCTTAACCTCTGGGCCATCTCTCCAGCACCCAGGTAACCTCTTTAAGTCAAAATTATGGTTATCATTTGCCTCCCCCAAACACCCTAATGATAGAATTTTTTTTGTTCCCCTCAGAAAAAAAAGAATGTAAGCATTGCTAGGGTAAACAGGTCCGTCTGAGCAATGTGGTAAGATCTCCATCTCAAAAACAAAATGCATTCAAACCATGGCATGCAAGTTACTCCCCTAACACAAGTGAATGTAACTTTATTTTTTTTAACTAAAGGATTTAAAACATGTAAGCATGAGCAGAATTAGAACGTGAGGATGTTTTTGCATATCTTGATCTGTGCCTCAAAGTAGTTCCCTATTCTTATTTCTGCAAAATACTATGGACACTGTGAACCAGCCAAATCTGAAAGACATTATTTTATTAACCCACCTTCTGCTCCTAAACAAGTGGTTATAACATGAATGGGCACCAGATAAATGCTCAGCAGGCCTCACGCCCAGATGTCACAGACTGCCTGCAGCCAGGCAAGGCTGACCAAGGAACAGGGTTAATGGCTTCTCACTCTAAGAAGTCGGACCCTACTCCAGGGCCTGGCTGAACTGGAGCTTTAGCCTTGGCCTTCCTCCACAGTGAGAGGCAGTTCTTAGTGGCCTTCGGTGTCAGGGTGGGGAAGGCTCCAGAAAGGGTTCCATAGTTGCCTCACAGGGGACCCCTTCCCCGGGCCTTTTGGAATCCAGGTCGTCTATAGCGCAGAGCTGCACACCATTTTGGGCCAGCCGAGCCCGCAGGGTGGGTGCTGTGAGGACGTGCAGCTCATGCAGCCGCTCCCAAGAACAAGAGAATGCATCGGGGCCCTCACCGCAGCCTCCTGCTGGAGGCACACTGGGGTATCCAGGGTGTGCCATCAACTCCGCAGTGAGGGCGTGGCCAGCAGGGATATCTTCCAGGGCACGCAACAGGGACCCCAAGACTCGGTGAGCAGACATATGCCGGCCACAAGTGCTCAGGCCCACAAAGGCATCGGTCCACCTGTGGGTGCCAGGATGTCAGAGGTACTGCCTGCCTGAAGACCGGTCAGACTCGGCAGAGGGTGCAGCAGGACAGTAGTAGGTCAATTCCCAAGGTTTTTGATTGGGGAAAGGGCACATCTGGCCAGGTGAGCGCCCTGGGACCAATGGGGACACAGCAGGGTTGGAGTTGAGGAGGGGGGCGGAGGGGTGCTCACCGCAGGCCGTGGCGGGAGAAGGGACCCATGGCGGCACGGGCATCGCGCACCACAGTGCATGCGAAGGCTCGCGCTGGCGCTTCGAGCCACGCGCAGCTGCCCAACCCGCGTTCGGCGGGCAGCCGTGTGAAGCGGACCCCGCAGGCCTGCAGCGCCTCCGCGAACACCTGACACACGCCTGCTGGGAGGGGCGGGCTCTGAGGAGTCTCCCCACCGGGTGGCATCCGTTCCCCCACCAGGCCCACCCCCGACCGGGGCGATTCCATCGGCGTACCTGGGAGCACATGCACGTGCTGGTGCCCGTCCACGTGCGTGGGGGACCTGCCCAACAACTCCCGGAAGCGGCTGAGTTGAGCCTCTAGCTCCTCCCGCACCTGGAGGAGGGAGGGGCACAGACACCCTGAGCTCCGGGAAGCAGCCACACACACAGGGAGCTCCGTCAAGGCGCCACGACGTGACTGCTCCAGGGGGGTTGCACTAGGCGCCCTAGGAGAGTATCCAGCGCCCGCTTTTGACCCAACGACTTCCACGATCCCCTCCGGGCTGAGCTTGGAGGATCCAGATGCGTCTCCCCCTGCAGCCACGCCTCCGCACCTGGGGCAAAGCAATGTCGCCAGCCGCTAAGGCCTCCCGAAATCCCATCTTGCCCAGAAAGAAGCCTTCCGGGCTGAGGAGCGACGAGGCGCTGTGGCGGGCCGGGCCCACCGGACGGCCCTCAGACAGGTTGGCGTGGAGGCCCGTGGGAATGCTGTGCCTGCGGGCGGAGCGCGAGAGCGAGCGAGCCAGCACGGGCTACCACGGGGCGGGCGGCCCCGAAAACCCACCGGGCCCTGGAAGGGGCCGCCCTCACCTGCGGGCCAGCTCGGCCGCGCTTTCGGCGGCCGTGCCGTTGACCAGGAGCGACACGCTGGTCACGGTCCCTGCCAGGAAGGCCTCCAGGATGCCCTCATCGCGCCGCGGGCAATAACCAAAGTCGTCGGCGGTGACCACCAGCCGCACACGGGGCCAAGCCATGGCTGCCAAACCCTGGCTGGAGCCCAGAAGGACTGGGCCGCCGCATCCAGACCCCGCCCTTGAACGCTGCCGAGGCCCCACCCCGACGCGCACGCCTAGACGAGGCCGCACGCCGCCATTGTTCTGCCACCTAGAGGTCTCTGCATGTCCTGCAAACGCGCGGGTCGACTGCTCGGCAATTTTTTTTTTTTTTTATTAATTTTATTTTTTTTTGTTTGGTTTTTTTCCGAGGCAGGGATTCTCTTTGTCCGGGAAAGTTTTCTAACCCACGCCCTACCGATGCTCATCGTGGTGACAGCCGGAGCTTGCATGGTAGCGTGGCTGTCTGGATATTGTTTTGAAACGGGGCCGTGGGTAGCCCAGGCTGACCTCACTATTCATTCAGCCGGGGCTGGCCTTGAACTTCTTATCCTACTGCTTCACCTCTCCATTGCCCCAACAGCAGGTACGTGCCACCACGCATGCTTTATGTGGTGCAGGGAACTGAACCCAATACTTCATGAGTGTTGGGCAAGCATTCCGCCAGCTGAGAAGCATCCCCAGCCTGCCTCGGGTTTTCATTATAGAACGTGTGTTACTGGATCGAGCCGGTCGTGTTGGTAATTTCACCACCGTTTTACAGCCAAGGAACCCGAGGGGTCACCTGAGAAGGGGAGCAGGAGCTCTTCCCTAGGGCCGGAGCCTTACCTGCTCGGGTTCACTCAATCCTGCCTGACCCCTGCATCTCGGGCATATGGGAAACACTGTAGCTTGATCGTAATAGTTGCTGATGAGTCTTTGTAAGGGTTGGAAGCCTCAAGAGAGCCCTTACCCCAAATTCTTGGTCTAAACACTGCCTTGTCCAATCACGGTGGTTGTCAGACCTTCGGATGTCATCCAGCCACGGTGGGACTCAGCTCTTGGAAAGGCCAGCGACCATGAGGCCCCGGCTCCCTGAAAACCACAGATTGAGAAGAGGAAACTGTCAAGCACCTGTTGTGTCAAGAGTGGAGTTATTAGAGATTAGGGCTGACTGCGTTGCTTCCTGCCCTAAAGAAGTGCGAGACAAACGGTGTGGCAGTGCAGGATAGGCTTGTTGGGAATCTGCTGGGAATCAGACTTTCTAGGGTGAAGGAGGAAAGAAAAAGGTAGAGGTGGGTTTACACGGAGCTTCCATAAGGTGCAAAGTGTGTTGTAAGAACATTTTATGTCAAGACTCACTTGGGGAAGGATGCTCAGCTTCACTTATGAGGGGCTGAGTCACATCAGCAAGAAAAAGCAGACACAGGAACTAGGTCTGTGCAGAAACCAGGACTCTTCCTGCTCCTGAAAAGACTTGAGAAGGAAGATGCTGGCTGGTCCACACTGAATGATGAAAAAGAGGCTCTAGAAGAAAGCCAACAGAGTAGGAGGATAAGGAACAAGCTGAGGTGTTTGTGTCAGAAGTTGAGGCTATGGCTTTCGCCCTGAGGATCAGAGAAACAAGCCCCATATTCAGACCTCTTGGCTGAATAAAGTTAGATCTATAAACACGTGCGAACTTTGCTTAGCTGCCTTGGCAGAAAATACAGCGAGGTGGGGGAGGAGCCAACCTTGGCCCCACCCCCAACCATTGTGTCGGGGAAGATAGTGAAAGTGAGGCCAGATTCTAGCCAATCAGGATGAAGTATGTAAATGACAACCCGGGACGAGCGGTAGCGGGATTCCAGCGTTCTGTGCGGTAGTCCTTTAAAAGGAGCTGACTGTGAGAACCTCCAGGAGCACAGTGGAGACTCTGGTAAGTAGGTGGGGGCTCTAGGGTGCCTCTGGTCTGAAAAAGCAATCTGGGCACACAGCTCGACCCAGGCACAGGTGCAAACAGAAGGCAACGACTTGGGAAGGTCCACAGATGTGTGGCAGGTCCAAGCAGGGGAAAGTTGGAATATCTGAAGGGCACAAGTAACGGGAGCTGGGGTCCCACGGACCTAGCTTGACTTCCTCTCCCCGCCATATACAGAGGAGTCTGCATCTGTGCTGTGGAACCTGAGAGCGGAAGCAGAAAACAAATTGAATTACCTACACCATGGCAAGGTGCCGCCACCACTCGGGATACCTGGCTGACGATGAGGCTGGTCACAGCACCTATGTGGCTCGGGTAAGTATGTCCAGCTGGCCTGACGTTAGTGTCTGGACCACGTCCCACTGCGTCCCCATTCCCAGCTGATCTCACTGGGTCACCTGGTGTAATCTTTATTGTAGCTCAGCCTTCCCTTATGCCTGCTGAGCCCTGATCACTCTTTCATTCCCCACTCCCCGTTGCCCCCATAAAGCACTTGGGTAGACTTAGGAGCCCTGAGAAGAGGACGGAGTCAGCCTGGAGGACTCAAAGTGGAGATGCAGGCTCAAGTCCTCAAGTCCACTGTAGCACAGCAGTGAAGTCAGTGCAGGGGGCTGCGCTAGAGACAGAAGGAGGTAGAGAGGAAGAGGGCTCTCATAATTGCCCTTTCATACCATGAACACAGAATTCCACTTTCAGGCTCCCACGTAGGCCTGGCATATATGAAATATAGGCATTGGGGATCTTCAGGGCAACCCTAATAGACCCCTACGTAGCAGAGAAATCCTCAAGAAAGGTTGTTGTGAGCACTGACGCCCAGAATGACCTGATTCTATAATGTAATTCAGGGCTGCTGAAATGGCTCAGTGGGTGAAGGTACTTGCCATCAAAACTGATGATAATCTGAGTTCCATCCCCAAGAGCCACATAATAGAAGAGAACCAGTTACCACAAGTTGTCCTTTGACCTCCACACCTGCACTGAGGCACACAGACACCTCCACACATGCACACATACCCACAAAAAAAATGTTTTAAAAAATTAAATGCCATTCAGTGATTGAGCATTTGCATAACATGTTCAAGACCCCTGGGTTCAACCCCCAGCATCAACAAACCTAGACAATGAAGACGTTTCCCATTGTTCAATCCCAGCCAGCTCCTAACAAACACCCTAGGACTCCAGACATACCTCCTCCGCCCTGGTAGAGCCTCCTGCCTGCTGTGACAAGCCTGTCTGTTCAGATGCAGCTGCCCAAGAAGCATCATCTGTTGCCGGAAATGGGGCCAACCTACAACCTTGGCCGTGTGCCACACCCACCATCCATGAACCGGTCCTCAGAGCACCAGGGCCACCAGCAAAACCCTAGGCCCCCTCAGTCGTTTGGCAGCTTCCTGGATTTCCTCACGGAGGGTCAGATCCTGGACAGCTTGCAGACAGTTGTGGAGCAGGCAACAGAGCGTGTGGCTGCTATGAAGACGGAGGCTGGAGTGCCACTGGTAGACCTCCGAGAACCAGTGGAGGTGCGAAGCAGTAGGCATCGGGCTCGAGCCAGACCCAGAATCAGCGCTGTGCATCGGCACCGTGCTCAGCCCACCCTGTGTGCTGGGCAGCCTAACAATTACCCATCGTGCTCCAGCTCCATGTCTGACTTTCATAACAGTGTCAAAGCTAGCCGGCTGGGCTCCCACAGCCAGGACAGTGACCCAGCTGCCCGAGGCCTGGGCTCACTGCCACCTATGAGGGACAAACTCCTACTTGAGAAAAACCTCAAGAGACTACTGCGACTGGAGAACAAAGGGGTAAGGCGTGGTGCTGTGGCTAAGGATAGCAGAGGGTGGGCCTGAACTTAGTGCTGGTGTTAGGCCTGGTCAGACACCTCTCAGCCTTACTTTCTCTTTGCAGAAAGGCCTGAATCAGTCCACCCTGAGGGACTCTCTGCTCTATGACTCACTGGGCAGCCAGACCAGCAATCAGTGGACCCGGGAGCAACTGCTGTCTTGGTTCTCTGGGCCTTCGGGCTCCGGCTCAGATACCGCTGAAACTTCGGAGTTGGGACTTGGAGAACAGGAGCTGACTTTTTTCAAACAAGAGTTAAACAAACAGATGAAGTCACTGCTGAGCCAGCAAAAATCCTTCAACCTGCCTACATATTGTCCAATCAGGGAACCTCATCGAACTCTGGATTTCCTGGCTGAGCATCGCCTCTTTCCTGTCCTGCAGCATGTGGTCAACCAGGCTGTAGAGAAGCTCAGCCATGCCTGCCGCCACAATGGTTCCCCCCTCTTCTCTGTTGCCTCAGAGACCACCCCAGTGCTGCCTGTGAACTCTAACCTTCTGCAGCCCATCTCTAAGATGTCCAACAGGGAGGATAGGGAAGAGCCTTATGATTCTCCCATCACAGCCTCCAGCCCTAAGACATCTCGCAGAAAGAGCAAGGGCAGACGGGGCTTCCCCTTCATATCAAATGCCCAGATGCCTTCCAGATTCAGGCTTAAGGTGATACCTACAAAAGTATCTGATGTTCCCAGGCCCTCATTTCACTCCATACAGGAGTTCCCTGACTCTTATCCCAAATTACAGAAACAAACTGTGGCCCCAAGCTCCAAACAGATACCTCAACCCAGCCTTGGCCTGCACCTCACCATGCCTGCCCCTGGGATTGCAGTGGCACTGGCTTCCTGCCAGGGCCATCTCAGGGGCTTGTTTCGGCATCATCCTGACTCCCCCTACCATCTTCCTCACTGTTTCTCTTCCCCTCTGTTTTCCACATCCCCTTTTCCACTGTGTCCAGAGGTGACCTCAAGAGTAGGGCTGGAGGTCCAAGTGGAACATCTGAAGGGAAAGGGCTCATTTTCCCACCACGTCTAGTAGCCACTGTTACTGGCTGGTGCCCAAGGACATTGCAGAAATCTCCTGGGGTAAATACAAGCTGTTGCGGATCAGGATCTAGTTCACCTGTTTCCAGGTGTTGTCAAAGATTAATAAAGGCTATTTTTTTTTTTACCCTGCTTTTATTATTATTATTATTTTTTCTGAGACAGGGTGTCATGTAGCCCAGGCTGGTCTCAAATTCATTATATAGTAGAAGATGAGCTTGGATTCCTGATCCTCTTGCCTCTACCTCCCAAGTGCTGGGATTACAGGCGTGCATCACCATGCCTGGATTTCAGGTTTGTTTTTTCTTTTTAATTATTGTTTGTGAACCTCAGAGGCTCTTCCACATTTCTCTTATGGATAGGAGGTTTTTTGTTTTTGTTTTTGTTTTTTAATTTGGTTGGTTTTTAAGACAGGGTTTCTCTGTGTAGCCCAGGCTGGCTTCAAACTCAGAGATCCACCTGTCCCTGCTTCCTTAGTGCTGGGATTAAAGGCCTGTGTCACCACACCCAGCTGCATAGGCATTTTTTGCCAAGAGCACAACTCTGTATTCTAAGGTCAAGTGTCCTCTAATCTAGCTGTAGGACTCTGTAGTCTCTCTGCTCAGTAAAGGGGACATTGATCAGGAAATATGTATAAAGTAGATGGCCTGACCCTTGGAGGTCCCTGGACATCTCTCAACCTGCCATCATCAGGCCTCAGACGTAATTCCTTCTGAATACAAGCTGGTGTGCAAGCTTGCAGGAGCACAGCCTGTTCAGGGTGGTAGGCCTTGTTCTAGACTTGACAGGTGAGGCCTATGGAGTGAATGTGACAGCAGAGCAGATGTGGTGGGTCTGTATCCCGGTGTGATGAGTGTGGCTTTCCTGTCTGTAATGGGGAGGACTGGCACAGCTGCCAAGAAGGGTATAGCAGTATGTCACAGGGCAGTGGGAGGGATAACAACAAGGGTAAAACATCTTCTTTTCTCCCTTGTCTGCTGCACAGAGCCCCAACACCAAGTTTCCAAAGAAGAAACCCCTGCCTTCCATCTCGTCTGTGTCCAGCGTGTCCTACGTCTCTAACCCTTGGTTTGAGGAACTCAGTAACTTCTTGGTTGAACAGGCAGTCTCCTTGCTTATCTGCAAGTATAAGTTTGAGGAAAGCCTCAATAAGCAACTTGGCTTCATGTCTTTTCCTATCACTGAGGTTCTCATGGACATCTTTTTGGGCTTCAAGAAGGTGAAGGGTACCCGCATCCGCATGTCCTCGGACATCAACTGGACCTGTCTTCTGCACAAGTTGGAAGAAGCTGAGTTGGCGCAGCAGGCCGTAAGGCGTGCCTCCAGGTCGGGAGCCTCCCATCATAGTGCTTCCCGAATTGCCGCCTCCCACCATAGCACAGAACCACCCTCTGCCCAACCAGAGCTTATTGGTGGCACCAGTCAGAAACAGGCAACACAGTCCCATTTCTTCCTCCGCCCTGATTTGCCAATCCACCAGCTGCTCAGCCCTCGGGGCCCTCATATAAGCCTGGGACAGATGCCTAATAGGAGCCTGTTGGAGGCCAAGCATAGTATGTTCTCCAATGCTGGTGTGGGCTCTAGGTCCTACAAGTCCAGGGACATGGTAAATATTGAAGAGAGAGAAGACTCTGAAGAGGAGGACGAAGAGGAGGACGAGGAGGAAGAAGAGGAGGAAGAGGAGGAGGTCGAGGATGAGGACGAGGAGGAAGTGGTGGAGGAGGAGGAGGATGGAGAAAGTGAGGAGGATGAAATCAGTGATTCCATTGAGGGTGAGCACACATCTCCTACCCAGCCTGAGCCTGAGTTGGAGGACATTATGAATGAGTCCACTGTAATGAGCCCCAATGAGTCCCCATGAGACACCCATCAGCCACACAGAGTACTCCAGTCTTTGTCTCCTTCCCTATCCAAGTAGCTGGCCACTCAGCCAGCCCCTGTCCTGAGTTGGGGTCAGGATGACTGGGTGCTCAGGAGAGAGCCAAAGCGACAAATGGAAATAAATTACATGTTTGTGGACACAGCTGTCTAGACTTGGTGTGTTATCTTCTTTCCTTGCACCTGGATGACTGCCATTGAATAGGATCTTCATGGTGAGCCAGCCTGATGTTATGTGAACTTTTCTTTGGGATACAAGACAGGCACTAGTGATATATACCAAAGGAATGATTTTACCCAGGTCCATCTCAATGAACTAGTGACTTTGTTGGGTTTATAGGAGAATGGATGTTATGTAACAAGAGTGTGAGTGACCCCCCAAACAGCTACCACCAAAAAATCTCACCCCAACATGATTAATGACTTCTCCATAGCTTCACAGACAGACCCCAAGCCAAGCTTCAGTTCTCCCAAGCTGTATAGACTCCAGTGCAGTGATTCTCAACCTTCCTAATGCTGAGACTCAATACAGTTTCTTATGTTATGTTGACTCTCAACCATAACATTATTTTCCTTGCTACTTTAAAACTAATTTTGCTACTGTCATGAATCATAATGTAAACATCTGATATTCAGATGGTCTTAGGAGACCCCTGTGAAAGGGTCATTCATCCGCAAAGGGGCACAACCCACAGGTTGAGAACAGCTAGTATCTTCAGAGACCAGGAGACTATTCTGCACCTCAGGCAGAATAACAAACAGCTGAGAAGGAAGTACAGGAAGGAATAGCTCTACTCCCAGGCAGTTCCCTCAGCTTTTATGAGGGGACACCAAAATGGGTTCAAACTTGAGGGGCCTTGTAAATAGTCACAGCTGCTCTGATGAAGACAGAAATGGCTGCTCTGTTTAAAGGACAGTGGTCTACAACACCTGTGACAGCTTCATGACAGCGGGTCCTGCCTTGACTCCGGAGCTGTTAACTGCTTCCTGCAACTTTTCTCTACCCTACTCTGCAGCTTTATGGTTCTTTAAGTCTTTCAGGACTCCTGCATGTTCCTGTGCATCCCAGCTTGTAGGGAGCTGAGGAAGCCCTGGATGAGCAAAGGATTGAGTAGACGGTGTATTTTGACATGAGCACAGCTTGTCAAGAACTCCAAGACCAACTGGCAAAACCATGATGCACATAGGTTGGGCTTGAGGGGGGTAGCAAAGCCTTCCCCAAGAGTCCGATTTTGAGTGTTTATGAATGACTGGTCAATGTGTGCAGAGACTCTGAAAGAGCGTTCAAAGGCCACTCTCTACCATCTCCACACGTTTTCAGTAAAACAAAAGTAGCCAGAACCTCTTGGTTTGTCCGAACTACAGTCCTATCTTGGAATAGGGTCAGGCCAACGGAACAGAGCGATGGCCTCTACTACAAACGGCTCCCTGGTCCACCTACCTTAGGACCTTAGTCCCTTCAGAATGACAGATAATCAAGCTCTCCTTGAATATGAGTATGGGTGTGACCATGCTTCCTCTGCCTAACGCCAGAGTGAGCTGTACACTTGTTTGTCCTTCCCTGTCCTGGGGCTTTGTAGAGAGAACCTGCACACCCTTTGAGGAAGACTTTCTGTGATGACAGTTCCTGGTTATCAACTTGACTACATCTGGAATGAACTAAAACCCAAAACTAGAGTCTACAGATGTGAGGGATTTTTGCTTCATTTGAAGTAGGAAGATCCACTTCTAATATGGATCTTTGAGGTAGAGAGACACATCTGTATTCCAGACCTTTAATCCAGATTGACCCTGAGCTAAAAGCCTATATAAGGATATGAAACAGGGCAGTTTTTAGTTTTTGCCTGCTTGCTCTTGCCCTTCTAGTGAGTCCATCCCTTCATTGGCATTATGTGGGACATATGGATGTATGACTGGAGGAACCAGCCAGGAGTAAGACTGAGGTTGAAATGTGTCCAAATCCTAAAAATCTCAATCTTGAGAACAGCAGGAGTAAGAATTGCTCTCTTCCTGTTCTGGGCCTGCTTGCTCCAGTGCACACAGTCTTACAACTGCACCTTCACCATTCGAGAGGTACTCACTGAGCCTGGGGACCAGGACATGTCCAGCTAGCACCTGGATTGCTCCATGAACATGAAGCTTTCTTAGCACCCCAGCCTCAGCCAATGATGTCTACTCACCTGAAACCCCCTACCCACTTCCCCAAGGTTTACATAGCCCTTATTCCCCCAATAAAGAGAGCCATGTCACTGGAAGGGCTGTGTCGCTGGAAGGGCTGTATCTGAAATGCATGGAAACCTGTTTTTTTCTTCTGGTCATGGGGTTCATACCCTTGCCATCTCTGATCCTACGTGTGGTAGAGAAAGTGTTAACAGATCAACTTTCAGTAACTTTCTCTTCTTTTGAGGCAGGGTCTCATGTAGTCTCAAAGCTCCACATAAACAAATATAGTCTTGGACTCATGATCCTCTTGCTTTTGCCCCCCCCCCCCACTTGTAAATATAGGCCACTATGGCTAGTTTACTGTGTTACTGTGAACTCAGGGCTTCACACATGCTAGGCGGCCGCTCCACCAGCTGGGAAATACAAGCAGGGAAATATATTAGTAGGTGGTGGTAGGTATCAGTTAGAAGAGGAATGGGATAGCTTGTGTTAGGGCAGCGATGGGAGACTTGGAGAAGATGATATAAAATCCTTGTAGGGTACACAGCCATCCTGTTTTGTGGAAGCAGAAGTGGAGTCAGATGTTGTGGTTAGTATGACGCTCTGCACTTAGGAGGTGGAAGTAGGAGGACCACTAGTTCAAGGTTATCTTTGGCTACAGATAGAAGCTGAGGCCAGCCTGGGCTATGTTTGACCCATCGAACCAACAAATAGCAGAAACCAAAGAGTTATTGTTTTTAATTAACAATTTTTGGATTTTTGAGACAGGGTTTCTCTGTGTAGCCCTGGTTGTTCTGGAGCTCACTCTGTAGAGCAGGCTGGCCTTGAATTCAGAGATCCATCTGCCCTTGCCTTCCAAGTGCTGGCATTAAAGGCGTGCACCACCACTGCCCAGCAAAACCAAAGACTTCTAAGTTTCAGGTTTTAGTATTTCTGTCACATTAATTAATTGATTGATTAATTAATTGATGTGTGTGTGTGTTTATGTTTTCCTCCTTCCAGCATGCAAGTGCCAGGGACTGAACTTAGGTTGCCTAGTTTGGTAGTAAGCACCTTTATCCATTTAACCATCTTGCCATCACCTGAGGAGTTTGTCTTGAGCAAATGATGAATGGTACTACTTTTTATTGAGCATTGGAAACTTGAAGAGGGGCAGTTTGAGAGAAGAGACAATAATTCTTATACATTTCCAATGAGAACTTTCCTGCTGGCTGGACCTAGATTTTTTTATTATTATTATTTATTTATTTTTGGTTTTTGAAGACAGGGTTTTTCTGTGTAACCCTAGCTGTCCTGGTAGACCAGGCTGGCCTCGAACTTGCAGAGGTCAGCCTGCATCTGCTTTTTAAGTGCTGTGATTAAAGGCGTGCACCACCAATGTCTGTTTTGTTTGTTTGTTTTGTTTTTGAATAAGGGTATTCTGCAGTCCAGGTTGGACACCAGATCTCCAGGAGGATGACCTCAAACTTCTTGAACTTCTGGTCTCCACCACTCCAGGGTTGATTTGCTAGGGATCAAACCTAGGGATCTGTGCTTACTAGACAGGCACTCTACCAACTGGGCTTCCTCTGCAGCCCTAAACATAAACTTTACTGAGGAGCTAGCTAGTATCCCAGGGACATACTTCATCAGCCTTAAGAGTAGCCCGAAAGCAGTTTCTCTGTGAATACCCAACATAGAGAATATATACTGTGAGAAGTCCCAGCTATCTTCTGCTTAACCCATCCAGCAACCTTGGGATTCTGCCACCGAATGACTCACGTGGCTTGCATGGCTAAGGCAATTCAGAAACCCTGGGATCCAGGAGCTGACGTGATTCGGTGCCGGTTTTGATCAACCTCTGGGGCCAGGAGACTTCAGTTATCTTTGGGATCTGCTTCCATTTTGTGACCACACAATCTGGTGATTCTCACAGGAGCCTGTAGCTAAAGGTCAGCGTCTGAGTGCAGAAACACAAGACTGACGTTTGGGGGCCCAGAGTCAGAGGGGTTTCTGAAACCACTGTCCAACCCCGAGACAAGGGGCTAGAGGCAACCAGTCTTTGCATGCGCCGCTCACAGGCCTCTCAGGTCCGGTAGCGGCAGCTGCGGCTCTCTCGGCGTTTATTGGCGGATCCACGGAAGCGTGGACCAGTTAAAACCCTCCCGTTGTCTCCGGCCCCCTCCCGGCGACCTCCCTGGAAGCTGGGGGTGGAGCCTCGCCACACGATCCAATAGCAGTGCAGGAGGAACGCGCGCGCGCAGGCGATTGGCTGCGGCGAGAGGGCGCTGTCAGAGCCGGATTGGCCGGTGCCGAGGACGGAAGCGCCGAGGTCCGGAGCGGCTGGAACCCGGCCGGCCGGCGCGATGTGGGGCGCGAGCCGCGGCGGGGCAGCGGCGCTGCTTGGGCTGCTGTTGGTGCTCTCGGTGCGGAGCGGTGGCGCGTCCAAGGCCAGCGCCGGGCTCGTGACCTGCGGGTCGGTGCTGAAGCTGCTGAACACCTACCACAGAGTGAGGCTGCACTCGCACGACATCAAATACGGATCCGGTGCGCGGGGGAGGTGGCCGGGACCGCCTGGAGGCGGAGGTTTAGGGACCAGGTGGGGTCTGTGGGCTGTCAGGATGGTTGCGAGGCTGGACCCGCTTGCGGGGGTCGTGAGAGGCAAGCCCCGGGGATTGAGAATGACGGGGGTCCACGGGACTGAGGGTTGCGCCCTCCCGATCCTGGAGGTGTGGGGGCTGTGGGGAAAACTTTGTTCAAGAAGGGGGGTCCAGAGATCTGTGATTGACGGAGACCACGGGTGGGGTGGGCTGTCCCTCTCCAGGCAGCGGCCAACAGTCGGTAACCGGCGTGGAGGCGTCTGACGATGCCAATAGTTACTGGCGGATTCGCGGCGGCTCCGAGGGCGGGTGCCCGCGCGGGCTCCCAGTGCGCTGTGGACAGGCGGTGCGGCTCACGCACGTGCTCACCGGCAAGAACCTGCACACGCACCACTTTCCGTCGCCGCTCTCCAACAACCAGGCAAGCTCCCCCTTTCCAGCCCCGCCCCCCCGAGTGGCATCGGGAGGTGTGCGGGGAGGGATGCAGGACCGGGGCCGAGAGAGGGGACTCAGCAGATCAGTCACTGGAGAAACTCAGGCTGGGTCTGAGAGGGAAGTAGGAGCTTCCCCTGCTCCTTCCCCTCTGTGGAAGAGCTCCTACTCAAGCATGGGAACTCATTGCTGCTGCTGTGGGCCGGGCACAGGAAGAAACTGACAGCACTTTGGGCTGAATTTCAGGGGGAAAATGTTGAAGATAGGGACCTTGGGGGGATTGGGCTTTATCAGGTTAGCACAAGGAGCCTGTGGAGAGGAGGCCTTAGCTCCAGGGGCCAGTGGGCACTATGCAGAAGAACCTACAATTCATAGGAATCTTTTTTGTTTACTTTTTGAGACCTGATCTCTCTATCTACGAGCCCTGGCTGTCCTAGAACTCACTATGTAGACCAAGGTGGCCCCAAACATCCGGAGATCTCCCTGCCTATGCCTCCTGAATGCTGGGCTTAAAGGCACGTGCCATCACATTTGGCCAGGGTGGGACTCTCGATGTCCACTTCAGAGCTGTGGATTCGGAAGGCCAGGGAAAGGATCAGAGGTCCAGGTGTAAATGTTACTGTTATAGACATGCAGCTCAGGGGACTCTGTGCCCTATGTGTGACTGTCCTCCATACCTTACACTCTCAGGAGGTGAGTGCTTTTGGGGAAGATGGTGAGGGTGACGACCTGGACCTGTGGACAGTACGATGTTCTGGGCAACACTGGGAGCGTGAGGCCAGCGTCCGCTTCCAGCATGTAGGCACCTCTGTGTTCCTGTCGGTCACTGGTGAACAGTACGGTAACCCCATCCGTGGGCAGCATGAGGTGAACGGCATGTCTAGTGCCAATGCCCACAACACATGGAAGGCCATGGAAGGTATCTTCATCAAGGCTGGAGCAGACCCCTCTACAGGCCATGATGAACTCTGAGAGCTGGAGGGGTGAAGGGAGGGTGGCGGGGTAGGGAATCTGCAGGGCCACTCTTGTATAAGACTTTGTAGGGGCCCTCAAGTGCCTTCATGATTAAAGAATGTTTGATTGTGATTGTATTTGCTGTAAGCCTGGGGAAGATCTGAAGGTGTCAGCCATGTCTGTCCAGCTTATCATCTTACCTGTTTCTAAGTACCTGTTCAAACTTTTTTTTTCCTTTTCTTTTTTCTTTTTATGTAGCCCTGGCTGGCCTGGAATTCACCTGCCTCTGCCTCCCGAGTGCTGGTAATAAAGGTATGCCCCACCACAACTGGCTCCAAATGTTTAATAAAATAATTTTTTATTACTAGTGCGAGTGCAAGTGTTGTGTGTTATGTTGGCACTGGTAGCTCAGGGCATGTGTGGAGGTCAGAGAACAAATCTTGTCTAGTCTTATCTTCCACCTTTATGTTTATTCCAGAGATCAAACCCAGCCTGAGAGGACTCTGTAGCATACACTAGCTGCTGAACCATCTCACTGGCTCCAAACCTTTTTTTGATGCCTCTCCATGCATTATAATACTTCTATGAACTGTGATCTCATGTACAGTGAGTGACCTCATAGCAATTGACCTCAATTCCCAGGACTTGATGTTAAGCAACTGTTTGTTGTTGTTTTCTCAGACAGGTTTCTCTGTGTAGCCCTGGCTGTCCTGGACTTGCTTTGTAGACCAGGCTGGCCTCTGCCTCCCAAGTGCTCTACCATGCCTGACCCCTTTGGCAACTTTATTGTATTGAGTGGCCTTGGTACTAGGGCCGCTGCCAGCTGGGATGGGCTCATGCTCTTCAGTCCCCTCCTGTCTTGTGCTCAGGACCCCTCTCTTTGTGGTTGTGGCGGTCTTGAGACTTATCTTTGACTAAAGGCCTGTTGAAGATTCTGCCATCTACTAGAAATGAACAGCTCAGGCTCCACGCTCTTTGTCAGTGGCGCACTCTTCCCCTAGCCTCTCCAAGGTTTGATGTCGGGCCCCTGATAGGACCCTCCAAGGCCTTAAAGAGAGAAGAGAGCTAGGACGGGAGAGATGGCTCAGTGGTTAAGAGCACAGTCCGCCCTTTCAGAGGACCAGCCAGCACTTGTGGCATGTCAGGTGGTTCATAACACTGCACTTCCAGGGGGATCTCTCGTGCTCTTACTCCTGTGGGCACTGGCACATATGTGCACAAACCCACATAGACAGGGAACTTAAAAAAAGAGAGCGAGAAGAATACCTCAAAACATCTCAAGGGAAGACACCTGCCCCCAAACAAAAACAAAAACAAATCACCCAATCTGCGTTCTATAATTCAAGGCAAGAATAGAGGGCTGGGGGTCAACTTGTGGAACAGTTGGTACTTGGTGTGCATGACAGCATAGAGCATTTTCTCGCATGTACAAGGCATGGGGTCTTTTTCCAGCACCAAAATTAGATGAAATAACGTTCATAGTGTGGTGTATCGGTTAAATGCGTAAATAAAAGTGCAAGCAGAAGCAGTAGAAGGGCCCACATCGAGCATGCTGATAGCTCTCTAGTGATGTGTGTGGGGCCTCTAGATGTGGTGGGAGAAATGACAGACTTCCTGGGCTTGGCTGCCTCAGTCACACGGATTTCAGGGAACTTCTGGGGATAGAAAGTGTTGATTTCCTGAGAGCCAGAAAAAGTCCCAAGAGGCTGGGGTGACAGTTGCCTAGAAGGGACTTGGGATAGTGTAGGAAGAGCAGAGAGCACATGGATTTGAGAAATCAATTGACCAGCAGGCTGGCCTAGAACTCAGATCCATCTCTCTCTGCCTCCCAGGTACTGGGATTAAAGGTGTGAACCACCGTACCTGGATCTACTGCTGAACTCTTAAATGTTATTTTTAATTATGTGAGTGTGCCTGAGGCAGTGGTGCACTCCTGCAATCCCAGCACTCTGGGAGGCAGATCTCTGTGAGTTCGAGGCCAGCCTGGTCTGCAAGGCTACACAGAGAAACCCTGTCTCTGAAAACAAAACAAAACAAACAAAATAATTGTGTGTGTGCGTGCATGCGTGTGTAGTGTGTAAATATGCATGAGTGTGGTGTCCTCAGATGTCAGAACCTCTGGAACTGGAGTTAGAGATGCTTGTGGGGCATCTTGTGGATGCTAGGCATGGAACTGGACTCCTCTGGAAGGGCAGCCAACCCTCTTAACCACTGAGCTCTCTCTCCAGAGAGCCCTGTCCCTTTTGAGACAGTATTTCCTGTAGCTCAGGCTGGTCTTGGACTTCTAACTCTTTTCTCCACTCCCCAAATGCTGGAATTTGGGGGTGTTTTGTTTTGTATCAATGTGGAGAGACACAGTATGCTGACTGTATCTCGAGCACTAGAGAAAAAAGACCCAGGAGGATCATCATAAGCACAGTCTACTCGGTGAGCTCCCAGCCAGCCAGTGGTACGTGATGGGCCTTATCTTCAAAACCAATAGCAGTTTTTTGTTTTGTTTTTCAAAGAAGACAAGACAATGTAGGGACTGAACAGATCGTGGCTCAGCTGCTAAGAGCTCTTCTAGAGGACCTGGGTTCTATTTCTAGCATCCATGTGGTGGTTCCCAATCCTCTGTAATTCTTGTTCCAGAGGATGGAACTCCTGACCTTTGTGGACAGTAGGCAAGTACATGGTAGCACAAATTTGCAGGCAAAGCACCCAAACACATAAGATTAAATTTAAAATAAAGTGCACAGTATAAGTCCTGGATATGGGAAACTAGCTCTGTTTCAAAAATATTCTCTCAAGCTGGGCACGGTGGCACAGGCCTGTAATTTCAGCACTTGAGGAGGTAGAGGCCGGTGGATCTCTGTGAATTCAAGGCCAGCCTGGTCTACAAATCCAGGACAACCAAGGCTACATAGAGAAACCTTGTGTCTAAAAACAACAAAAAAGTGGCTGGAGAGGTAGCTTAGAGGTTAAAGAGCACTGGCCTCTCTTCCAGAGCTCAGAGGTCCTGAGTTCAATTCCCAGCAACTACATGGTAGCTCATACCATCAGTAATGAGATTTGGTGCCCTTTGCCCTTTCCTGGCTTTTGCAAAAGTTTTTTTTTTTGTTTGTTTTGTTTTGTTTTTTTTCTCTTCCCCAACAAACACCGAGTACAGCTCCTCAGGTTCTGGGTACCAGGTCAGAGTCCAAAGAGGTCATTCAATCCACAAAGTGTTTCACAGTCTCAGGGACATCAGAGCATTTTCTTCCCTTGTGCCAGGGCCTCCCCAGCCCAGCTGGAGATTTCCTGATGACGACGACATTCTGAACTTGGACAGAAAGAGGTAAGGCCACGGTCTTTGAGTGACTGTCCCATCCAGAAGGAGTAATGAGCAAATTTCATACACCAAGCAGACAGAGGGCCCATTCAACCGCTGCTTTGGCTTGTGGCTCAGACACTTTCCTGGGATCTGTGTCCTCGCTAATTTGGTGACGGGCCCAAATAGACTGGCCCTCGTATTGTAGTGATACTTGCAGGGAAGCGAGCTGGGAAAAGGCGGGCAGAGAGCTCTTTTTCATGAGTTATGAATGAGGAGAAAGTGTTTGTAGAACTCCTTGTTAAAAACGGTGGAGCCAAAACTCGGGCGCCTGGCCAATCGCAGCTCGGAGACTATTTTGAAATCTTTCCAACAGCAGCCAATAGGTGTGCGGGAGGCGAAGCTTGGTGTGTGAGCAAGCCAATGAGGCTGGCGTTGTGCCTTGAGGCCTGGGGCTCAGTCCTCGGGACTGTCAGAGGGTTAAAGATGGAGCCCAGGGCGAGAGGGCGCCACGAGGTGCAGCGTTGTCCGTGTAGGACAGGGCCTCTGCTGACCAGGATCTCCCACTAATCTTCACCTTGTCCCCGCCGTGGAAACAAGGGGTGTGTCTCCACGTGAGTAGCTGGTCTGAGGGGATGGGTGCCGCTAGGTTAGCGAACTCCCGGCGGGAAGCCCTGGTTCTGCTCCTCCCGGCAGGAGACTGTTAGAACAGAATGCAAAACTCATATTGGGGGAACGGACCAAGGACCCGGTGTGAGGCTCCGAGGGCCTCACCTGCTACGGATGAACCACCCCTCTTATTCTAGAAGGAGCTCCAGGCTGAAGCCGGGTGCAAGGTGAACACAGGTCCCTCTCCTTTGTGTGTGAGGCCCCTCAGGTGCTCACCCTTCAGCTCTCTCCTGGGAGTGTCTGACGGATTCAGAATTGTGTTGGGTAAAGTTTAGGTGCCCTAAAGTTCCTAAGACCCGAGGACTGCATCCTGGCTGGAATCCCTGTTGTGCTCCTAATCTTGGCGGTTGAACTTCCCCGCAGGCAGTGAGGTTGATGGATCGCCCGCTGGCCGCAGATGCTCTGACGAGGTTGCACTACTGTGCTCTGAGAAGCAGTGCAATGATACTGTCAAAGCATCCGGGACCAGCCTCATAGAACACCCCCTCACCTGCAATTCCTTCTCTCCCCTCTTGTCAGTCTTGGCCCCTCAAACCTGCGGACCCTTCCCTCCCCCTGCTCATTTTACGTTCTTCTCCATGGAAACGTGGGATTCTAGCCAGGCCTGTGTCAGAGGGCACCCTTTGCCCAGGCCGAGGCTCCGCCCAGGTGGACATGCTTTCTAGCTCTGAGATCCCAACCCGGAGAGGAACCAGGCTTGCTGGACACTCTTTCCCTGTTGCACTACTGTGGCCACCGGGAAGCAGTGCAATGATGAAAGGGCATCCACCAGGTTCTGCCCACCTGCACACTCCCCATTCACTCCCCAGCTGAGAAACCTGAGGTGCCGAAGGGTAAGTGCTTGGATTTCATTCATGGTGCGGAGCTGGATGAGTCCATCTGAGAGAATAAGGTGGATGCTGGGAATCATATTCCAAGGCTGGAACTAGTACAAAGGGGAGACCCCAGATCTGAAAAGGCTCTAGTTTCAAGCTCTTAGCTCCCAGGTGAAGATAGGAGAGTCCGCACCAGGCATGGGGGCGCTCACCTTTAACAGATACCTCTTTGCATGGATAAAGGTCTGTATATCTTGCTTGGCCTTGATTGCCATGGGCAGAACAGCATTCAGCCTTCCCTGAATGCCTGAAGATAACTAAAGAGGAGAGGGAATGCCCTCACACCAGGGCATTCATTACCTTGGGGTTCAGCAGGAGTGCACCAACTCCCTGGGATGGATGGATGGATGGATGGACTTGAAATAGGAAGCCTCCAGAGGTGGCCCACAAACCATGCCTGCTAGCTTCTTTCCAGGAAGGTATGTGCTGAGCAGGAGGGATGTCTGCTTTAGGCGGGGCTGGAGCTGAAGTTTGAAGGACGCCTGATCCCGCCTGTGCCTGCAGCGTTACCGTTAGCATCAAAACCCAGCAAGAAGCTGGGGATGGAGGCCCATGCATTTGAACCCAGTACTGGGCAGGCATGGGTAGATGGATCTCTGTGAATTCGAGCACAACCTGGTCTGCAAAGCAAGTTCCAGGACAGCCAGAGTTACAACAGTGAGACCCTGTTTCAAGGCACTCTTGCCCCTTTAGAAACAAAGGGAAACCTAGTGAGAGGTGGTCAGGCCTGTCTCTTTGAGAGGAAGCCTAGGCTTCCAGATTCGCTTTTGGGAGTGGCCTTCACTCCGGGTTAAGAAAATCTCACCTCAACCTTACTCTAGCTCCATAACACTAACACCCACAGGGCCACTGTTCTGATAACAACATGAGTCTCGGGCCTGACGGAGGGCTTTGGTGGGCAAGAAGCAGCTGGCATCCACCCCCCTTAGTGGCTAGGGTAGATGTGGGCCAGCAGCTGTTGGTTGCAGCAGATCTGTCCTGAGACGTGCAGGGACCCTTACTTGGATAGATCTTGGGCCTGGAGCTCAGGGGTGTTCTGGGCCTCCCAGGGTTCAGGTTGGCCAGGTCACTTCTGTGAGTTTGAATGGGGAAGATTGTTCAAGAGGCAAGGTGAAAGCAACCTTCAGAAATGTAGCAGAGGGGCCAGAGAGAGGACAAAGGCTGGGAATAAGGCTCAGGAGTAAAACACTTGCCTACTATGCATAAGGTCCTGGGCTCAATCCCTACAGAATAGTGAGGGAGGACTGGGGGACCCAAGACACAAGAGGGCATCAGGGCATTCTAGGCATATAGCAAAGAAGTGGTCACGGGTCCAGGCATGCAGTCCTACACCTTGAATCCCACCATTTGGGAGGCAGAGGCGGGCAGAGCTCCAGACCAGTCCGATCTACAGTGATTTCCAGTATAGCCGGAACTACACGGTGAGGCCTTGTCTCAGAAAAGAGTGATGTGTGCATTGCTGTAGAGTAGGATAGGAAACTGAAAGGGTGCTAAAGCCCTTTGAGGGCAGAAAGAAGTCCTTTTGGATATTGTCTTAGTGAACTGGAAGCTAGATTCAATTATCAGGGCAGGGTGGGGAGGGTCCTGCAAACTGGGAGAGGGCTCTGTGCCTTGGAACAAAGAGGACCCTGGCTCACGAAGATCAAAATTCCGAAGGCACCTCTCTGCCTTCAGAGGTCACGGAGGTGGGAGGGGGCCTGGAGGGGTTGAAGCTCGTGAGCGCGCATGCCTGGAGAGGTGGGCATTGTCACGTGTGCTTGTGCTGGCCCCGCCCCCTCGCTCCGCGGGCACTCCCTGGGGAAGGCTGGGAGGGGGCGGGTAGTCTGGGGACCTGGAGTCTGCACTGCGGCTGTAGGGAGAGAGTGGGTGCGTCCTGTAGCCCCTGCCCAATGGGCTCCCGTCACCTTTTGGGACCTCAGTCCTAGCCCTCGGGAGGGTCCCCGTCCCGAGAGCCCTGCCCCGACGGTCGCTCCGCCTCCAAGCAGCATCGGCCCACCACCAGCAGTCCATCTCGAATGGAAGTCCTAGACGAGTTCGACAGCGAATTCCCCCAGAGTGTGACCTTCTGCCAGCTCATCTCAGAGGACGACTTCGAGAGGCAAGCGGCGACCTACACGGAGCGCGCGCTGCGCCGCCTCTTCCGCAGCCTGGACCGCAACCCAGCGCTGGCGGAGAGGGTCGTGCGCAAGGGCAAGCAGACGGAGATCGAGCAGCGCGGGTTCTTCTCCGGCCTCTGGGTGCGGGCTCCGCCTACCCTTTCTTAGGGCGGGTTTTCGATGGTGGGACTTTGGCTGAGGGATGAATAGTGGGGAGGTTGTGGCGACCGGGGTGGTTGGTGGGTGGGAAGGAGATGGTGCTGAAGGGTTTCTTTTTTTGAAGCCAAGGATGCCAAGCCTGGGAATGGAGCAGGCAGGCGACTCTCCTCTAGTTTCCCGGCTTTCCTCAATAATTATTGCAGGCGAAGTTTGTCTGTGCTGTCCAGGGGGAACTGAACCAGTGCAACAGCATGGGTGCCCTGGAGATGCACCAGCGCCTGGAACACCTGAAGAGGCGCATCCACCGTGTGCACCTGTATTCCCAGGGTGAGGTTCAGCTTCTGAAGGTGCAAATCCTTGGGACACTGAGCCCGGGGCAGCCACTCCCTCTCCCATTTCCACTCATCACATTGCAGTGAATGTCAAGCTCAGGTCGGTGACATCTTAGGTGCAAGTAAGGTGCCCGCTTCTACCCTCCACGCTGAATTTGCCTCTTTCGGATGAGATTTAATGAAGAACAGGAAAGAGGGCCTGGGACGGAAAGGGAGAAAGGAAGATAAACCTCCTTGCAAGATTAGCTAATTTAGAGGCTAACTCTACTGCGGTGTGACAAGGCAGACGCTTTTAATGTGTCTTAATTAAAACAATATCTATTTATTGGGCTGGAGAGATGGCTCAGAGGTTAAGAGCACTGGCTGCTCTTCCAAAGGTCCTGAATTCAATCCCCAGCAACCCCATGGTGGCTCACAACCACCTGTAATGAGATCTGGTGCCCTCTTCTGGCCTACAGGCATAACATATACATAATAAATTAATTTTTTTTTTAAAGATAAAAACAGTATTTATTTGAGACAGGGTCTCATTCTCAAGTCCTGCTGGCCTCGGAATCATAGAGATCTGCCTGCAAAGAGTGCTGGGATTAAAGGTGTGTGCCACCACACCTGGTTCTAAAACAAAATATTGTGTGTGAGTGTGTATGTACATGAGTATGTGTATGTGAGTGCGTGTAAGGCACACATGGAGGTCAGAGGATGACCTACAGGAGTGGGATCTGGACATCCAACTCAGGGTGTCAGGCTTACATAGCAAGTGCTTTTACCCAGTGAGCCATCTTGCTGGCCCTTAATGTTTTATCCTCTCTCTCTCTTCCTTTTTCTTTTACTTTTTTAAGGCAGGGTCTCACTATATAACTCTGGCCAACCTGGAATTAATTCACTGTGTACACCAGGCTGGCCTCAAACCCAGAGACCCACCTACCTGGGACTGAAGACATGGGCTGCCATGCCTGGCTCTCCGCTCTCATCCTTCACTTTTATGTTTTGACATGAGGTCTCTGACTGAACCTGAAGCCCTGATTTGGGTAGGCTGTCTGTCTAGGGAGCTTCAGAAATCTGTATCCATCCCCAGAGTGTGATTACAGGTGTGTACTGCTATGCCTGTGAGTAATGGGAGTCTGAACTCAGATCTTTATGCTTGTGATGTAAGTACTTTACCAACGGAGCCAGCTCCTTATCCCCACCCCCAAGGACATGTACCTCTGAGTTGGGTTTAGGCTGAGACCTCACAGTCTGGGGCCTGGATATCTTTGCTGCTTTGGCGGACTCAGTCTTCCCCAGTCCTTGACTGGGAGGCCACAGGTTAGCTGACAGGCCTGGCTTGCTTCATCGCTCCCTTTAAAATTCTACACTTAATGTTAGACATCTTGGCATGGATTCTGCCTTTTTTATGCAGATGGGATATGGCTCTGCAAGAGGCAAAAGTAGGGCTGATATGACTCTGTGAGCAGAACTCTTGCCCAGCTCACATGAAGTCCTGAGGTTGATCCTAAGAACCACGTTAGACTGTTGGCATACATACCAACAACCTGGAGGTTGGAGACAGAAAGATCCCAGGTATAAGGGGATCCTCAGCTGCAGCTGAAGGCGAGCCTCGTATATGTAAGAGCCTATTGACAGAGGGAAGGAGGCGGAGAGTGATGTGGCAGGCATTGAAAGAGAGATTGATTTTGAATCCTTCCTCTAAGGTACTGGGTAGCTGGTGAGAGATAATTGCCTGCTTGGCACCTGTCATTGTTGCCATAGATATTGTTCCTGGATTTTTCAAAAAGCCTGAAAAGGCTTTTCCTTGGCTGGAGAGACATTATGAAACCCTTGTGTTACTCTGCTTGGACCCTATTGCCAGTACTCACTGTAGTATTTGATGCAGATGCCAAGAAGAGGAGGAAGAAGCCAAAAACAAAGAAACAAGATCCCATGCTCTTTCGAGACCGGTCCACCTCCCCATGCCTGCCACCAGCCCTGTTACCACTGCCGCTGCCACCGCCGCCTCCACCTGTTACCACCATGGCCTCTGTAGTGGCCGCATCACCCTCCGTCTACACTATGCCCAGGGTCTTTGGCCCCTTCCCTCCAGTGACTAGCAAGCCGGTCAGTGGGAACTTTGCTCTACTCTAGGTGGTCCTGGGAGGGCAGGTTCTGTGCATCTGTTCTGCCTACAGCAGTGGTTCTTAGGTTTACCTCTTAGGTTTACCTCTGCAGAAAGGCTCCCCTCAGACAGGCTTTGGCTATGGCTTAGCAGTAGGTCAAACAGATCAAAGGGGGCTGCCCTGGCCAAGGGCCACAGTGGAGGTGAAAGGCACAAAGCTCCACTCTTGTCCTCTATAAGCCAGTAATCTAGGTACACTTGGGATGCCCCTAAGAATGAGAGGAAAACTGCAGACTTTCCTCACATCTTCATCCTTGTCCCCATTCCTGGCTGTCATGGTGTCACTCCTAACTCTGCCCCTGTGTGTACATTGGGGCTTCTTTCTCACTTCAGATCCCCCTTCTCCAGCAGCCCTCCCCTTCCCTGTACCTTGTCTCAGGGTTAGGACTTCCTCAGTTGCCAGCCACCATCTTCTCTGTATCTCTGAAATCAACTCTTGCTTCCCATATAAGGACTGCTTTTCTGTATGGAGCAGCTTCCACTCTGTCCTGAGATCTCCTTTGTTTCTTGTAGATGGAGAAGCTGGATATTTCAAGGTCTGAAGTGAAATTAAGCTGGAATGGTGTTTCATCAACTTCAAAGAGGTGGAAGGGATTTACTCAGCTTGAAAGACACAGAAAACATTTGGGGGCCATCTTGAATGCCAGATTTGATGGTTGTTCTGTCCCAGCCTCTTAATTCTCACAATTTTGGGTGGTGATAGTATTCTGTGCTGAGGGAGAGTCTAGACTCTAATGGGGTCAGTGCTGAAGCTGTGAGTGAGCCCAAGGTCAACATCCTGTTTCATTTCTTTCATATCTTACAGTCACATGGTTGATCTGACCCCCTTGGTTCTCAACCCTGGAGGCTTCCATTTCTCGTATTTGGCAGGACACAGTGCACACAAGCTCCATTGCCCTGGCTTCACGTGGTGAGTATCTGTATGTCTCCAACTTTGACCCCAGTGCTCTGGTCCAGTGCCACTATTCTTGCCTCTGAAAGGCACCGTGGTAGTGTGCTCAAGGGCAGAAGGGACCCCTGGTCATGATATTTCTTTCATGCTCAGAATCTCACCTGTAATCAGTGTTTGCAATGGTAGAAGACATCAGTGATTGGCCAACCCAGGCCCAACAGAAAGGAGACAGCTAAGAGGTAGCCTTGGAATTGTTGTATTGCAAAGCAGGGTTCACCAAATGTGTGTTGTTAAAACTTATTTGTAGAGCTAGAGATGTAGCTTTGTAATCGTACCACTCGGGGACCAGAAATTCAAGGTCATCTCTGTGCATGTAGTCATCGTGAGGCAGCCTCAGCTGCATGAGACCCTTTTCAAGGGGGAATCACTTCTCTCTGCACTGCCTAGTCATCCTTTCCTAAACTACTGACAACTGCTGGTGTGGGGGGTGTGTGTGTGTGTGCCCACTTGAGTGTGTGCACCTGTGTGAGTGTGTGCTTGGGTGCACGTCGGAGCATGAATATGCATGTGCGCATGCATCTGTGCTTGAGCACGTGCCTGGTGCTGTCTGTCTGTGCTGATTTTGGTCTGTGCGCATGTATATGGAGACCAGAAATGAATGTTGGAGGAAAATAACTGTTTCTCACAGAACGTTTACCTGAAGGGACTTGCAGACAAGCAAACCTTTAAGAAATCTCTTAGGCTTCTTTATAGCTGAGTGATGTACACCCTATATTTCTGGATTGGGTGCCAACTCGTATTGGCAAGGTTTTAGGGGACACCTCTTCTCAACTATGGAAGCCTTACCAAGTTCTTTGTGTGTGCGTTAGAGAGAGAGAGAGCGAGAGACAGTGAGAGAGAGAGTTTATTGTTGAGAATGGAATCCAGGGCTTTGCTTATGGGCGCGTGCTCTACCATTGAGCCCCACTCCAGCTCTAGTTTAGTTTTTAACTCTTAACTTGAGATCAATTCATGTGGCATGTGACCCGCACACTTAGTGTGCCCAGGGCAGGGGTTATCAGTCACTTTGCTGTTGCTGTGTTAAAACATCATGGTCAAGGCAACTTAAAAACGGAAAGGTTTATTTGGGGTTCCAGAGAGGTGAGAGTCTATTGCCATTACAGCAGAGAGGATGGCAGAAGGTAGGCAAGCATGGCGTGGGAGCAGCTGAGGGCTTAGGTCCTCATTTCCAAGCAGGAAGCGAAGAGTACAGTGTGGACGGCAGAAGACTTCTGAAATCCCAAACCTGCCTGTGATACACCTTTTAGTCCTTCCTAAACAGGTCCACCACCTGGGGATCAAATATTCAAACATATGAGCCTCTGGGCTCGTTCAAGCCACCAGAGTTCCATCGGTGGGGAAAGGCATTTGCTACCAAGCCTGGATGACCTGAGTTTGGTCCCTGAGAAAAGGGATCATGGTGGAAGGTGAGAACTAACTCGTGCAGGCTGTCCTTTGAGTGTCACACGAATGCCATGGCACACTTGCTCGCACGGAATTAATTTTCTAGAGGCCTTCAGAATGGTCAGTGTTGAACATACTGTCGTAGGCTTCCCCTACTGTACAGCCTCAGCAAAACTAGGCTATATCTCCAACTTGGAGTTGGGTTATTTACCTTTATATCTTGAAAGTTGGGAAAGCATCAGAATCCATTATATTGTAGGTGCCCCGGCTTTAAGAGGTTTGTGCTGTGAGACCTAATATCCCAGTGAGATTGTCTAAACCAACACATCTTAAGGGCTGATGTTCCTTCCATGTGTGCTGTGACTGTGACAGGATCAAGTGTGCTTTCCTTATTGAGGAACAGAAAATTGTGAGTGTTGAAGGACAAGCACAGAGTCAGAAAATGCAAGAAATATGAGGTTTTTAAAAATAATAAAATTTTTTTTAAAAAAGTTAAGGCTTCCTCTATGGGGAGAAAATCCAATTCTATGGATTTTTTTTGTTCATTTTTTAAGACAGGGTCTTCACTATGTAACCCTGTCTGGCCTAAAACTTGAGCAGGCTGGCCCTGAACTCAAAAAGATCTGCATGCCTCTGCTTCCCGAGTGCTTGGGATTAAAGGTATATCCACTGGGACATTGAGTTGCCTGGCAATTTAGTGGATTTTTATATATTCATAAATTGTGCAACCATCACCCACTAATTTTAGAACATTTTTATCCTCTCAGAAGATAACACAGAAGGTGAAACAAGAGGAGAGAGAAAGGAGAGAGAGGGGGAGGGGAAGGGGTAGGGAAGACGTAGAGAGGCAGTTTTATAAATCATTTCTTCACAGGGAAAAATACTTTCAGATCATTGGTACAGGATTTACTTACATATGGCTGGAAATAACTGCTCATCACCCTCTGTCAGTAGGAAAATGCAAATCAAACCTACATCGTGGTTACACATTCTATCGACTCAGGAGCTGCGGTTAAGCAAGAATGACATGTTAAGGGTTTGGAGACTTGCAGAGCATGCTGTGATAGCTGGTCATAGCTTACACATGCAGGCTGGTCTTACAGGCCAGTCTTACTTGAATTTACCATCCTCCTGCCTCAACCCCCTTCAGGATGGGTCTCCAGTGTGTAGCACTAGGCTTTGTTCCGATGGTTGATCCTGACTGTCAGCCTCACTGGGCAGGAGAATAGGAAGGTATACATCTAGCTTTGTGATGGCATTTCTAAAGATGACTAGGTCTTAAGGGTTCTCAATGATTTGATCCAGTGGAGCTAAGACTTTCATAGACTGTTGAAAAGTGGAGAAACTGTGGAAGAAAGGATCTCCTGGCGGTAGCGAGTCACTGGGACAGTCTCTTACGTCAAGTTCTTGGCACTCCTCGCTTCATGGCTGGGGTGAACAGTTTTCTTCTCCCAGTTGCTTTGTTGTGATGTTTCTCCCTTGCCCTGTGTCTGAAAGCCATGGAATTAGCAGATCCTAGACCAAAGCCTCTAAAATTATGAGCCAAAATAAGCTCCCCCCCTTTTATTTTGAGATGGGGATCATGTTATGTAGCCCTGGCTGGTCTGAAACTCTTGGAGATCTGCCTGCCTCTGCCTCCCAAATATTAAGTGTGTGGCCTACAAATTTTTCCCGTTAAATAATTTCTCTTAGGTCTTTGTCAGTGACAAAATGCCTAACACTGGTGAAGTGTAAATAGTTTCACCACGTGTGAATATCATCATGGCAGTTCCTCGGATGTTAAGCATAGAGTTTTAGCATAGCTCGGTAATCCCAGCTGTGTGTGTATCTTCCCTCAGAAGAACTGAAAAAAGATGCTTGCACGTGAGTATTTTTTACAGCATACAAATATGGAAATTATCTACCTGTTGTCATTTTAAAATTGTTTTTGTTTTTTGAATAATAATAATAAGAATTTGAATAAGAATAATCCTGTCTCAAAAAACAAAAATAAAATGAACAACAACAACAACAAAAAAAACAAAACACCAAAACAACCCACAAACAACAAAATACTATATGACTATATGTATCTAGACTAGGTTAATTTCAAGAGACACAAAAAAATAGACTAGTAGGTGGCTGAAGAGGTGAGTAGGAGCGGTTGCTTCTGGGTACAGAGTTTCTGTTTTGAGTGACATTCCAGAGTCACAGTGTCTTCTGTATGTGAATACCTCTTAATTGCATGCCGAAAATGGCGTGTGTGCTCAGTGACAGTGTGCTTGGATGCACGCACCCCCAGTATTCTAAGAGAAATGCTTAAAATGGTAAGATTGGGGACTTGGCTCCCACATAAAAGCCAGGCATAGTGGCACACATTTGTAATGTCAGTGCTGGGGATAGAGTTAAGATGCCTGGAGGGTTGGAGAGATGGCTCAGAGCACTGGCTTTTCTTCCACAGGTCCTGAGTTCAATTCGTACATCCACATGGTGGCTCCCAACCATCTATAGTGAGGTCTAGTGCCCTCTGCTGGTGTTTCATGCACACATGCAGGCAGAACACTGTATAATAGATAAATAGATGCTGTGTGATAAATACGCAAGCAAACAAATAAATCTTTAGAAGAAGAAGAAAGAAGGTGGCCATCCCTGGAGCTTGCTGGCTGTGTCTAGTTGAACCAGAAAGCTCCCAGCCCAGTGAGATATCAAAAAAAAATGAGACACTGAAAAAACAAGAGCCAAATATGGTAGCACAAGCCTTTCATCCCTTTGGGAGGCAGATGCAGGCAAGGTTAGCCTGGTCTACAGAGTGAGTTCTAGGGTAGCCAGGGCTGCACAGAGAAACCTTGTCTCCAGAAAGTCAAAAAAGGACTACAGACGTTGACCTCTGGCCTCTACACACACACACACACACACACACACACACACACACACACACACACATAAGCACGTGTGCAAGCATGCACATGCGCACAAAAAGGTAAGTTTCGCTCTGCGGGTGAGGCTGCTGACCTGAATAGGAATCTCCTGAACTCACATAAAAGGAAGCCGGATGGAACGGATGTAAAGCAAGAGTGCCTGTGGAAGGCCTGCAACTGCGGTGCTGCTCTGCGGAGGACAGGGGCCAGCCAGCCTGGTTTACGTAGCAGCGAAGAGACCCCGTCATAAGCAGGTCAGAATGATGAGAGCCGACACCTGAAAATTATCCTCTGACTTCCACACACTCAACTGTTCGTACCTGCACCGCCACCTAAATATCTCCAGAGCTGTGAGTGATGGCGTGCGCTTCTGGTGAAGGGAATATTGCTTGAGCTCAGCAGTTTGAGGCCAGCCTAGGCAACACAGGTAGATAATGTTAAAAAAAAAAAAAAAAAAAGGAAAAGCATGACAGTTTACGCCTGTAATCCCTGTGCCTGAGAGGCCTCACAGGTGGATTGCTGCGAGTTCAAAGCTAGCCTGGACTACAGAAGGAGACTTTGTTTCAAAAATAAATAAAAACGAAGACAGGTGTGGTGGCATGTATCTTTAATCCCAGCACTGGGCTGACAAAGGAGGATCTCTGAGTTTGAGGCCGATCTGCTCTTCACAGTTCTAGGACAGCCAGGGCAACAGAGAGACCTTGCCTCAAAACAATAAAAAAAAAGAAGTAAATGAAATTTGCAGCATCCCTTAGTTGCCATCCCCAGCACCACTCTACTTTATCTCCTTATAAATTGCCTATTCTGGCCTCAAAATATGGCCTTTTGTGTCTGGTTTCATCTGGGCTTCTTCTGTGTGTGGTGCATGTGCGTAAGACAGGTGGACATCAGGCGTCTTATCACTCTTTTCCTTTTTCTAATTTTAAGATTATTTTTGTTTTGTAAATGTGAGGGTTTTTTTTTTTTTTTTTTTTTTTTTTTTTGCCAGCATACATGCCTGTGCATGTATGTGCCTGGTGCCCCCCAACATAGGTCAGAAAGGATACAGTATCCCTAGAAGTGGTCACAGATAGCTGTGAGCTACCGTGCTTGTGCGGAAACTGACCCAGGCCCTCTGAGAGTGCCGAGCCATCTCTCTAGCCACCTTCATCTCATTTTTTTGAGATGAGGTTCTCCCACTGAGACTCTGCCTGTCTAGTTGGCCTGTGAGCCTGGCTGGTGTCACCCTGTGACAGATGCATGTGGCTGTGCCCAGCTTTCAGATGGGCTCTGGGGATCAGAACTCAGGTCCCCATGTTTGCACAGCAGGCATTGCGCTGTGAACCGTCTCTCCAGCTCCTGCTCCTGTATTATCATCTGTGCATTAGTTATGGCTACTAGAAATAAGGACATTATCAAAGGGAAGGGTTTCAGTGAGGTCATAATGCTTTTACTTGAGTAGGCGTCTAGATCGTACAGTAACTTTGATGTACATATAATTACACTGTGTTATATACATATGTATATACACGTGTCTATAAACTTTTTTTGCAGTGTTGGTGATGGAACCCAGGACCTCACACAGTCTCGGCAAGTACTCTACGACCCACTTACGTTCAGAATTTGTTTACTGTTTTGAGAAACTGCCCATACTCTAAAAGTAGCCTCATAGAGTCCCGTTCGAGATAGATGGGAGATTCCTTCTTTTTCCATAAGCTAGCAACACTTTATTCTCATGAAAACATTCAACATTATGTGTGTGTGAGCTTGTGTAGGTGTGCATGTATACCCCAGTGTCCCTGGGGCATGCATGTGAATGTCCGAGGACAGCTTGCGAAGAGTTAGCTCTCTCCCTGTAATACATAGGCTCTAGGAATTAGACATTTCTTCTTCTCTTCCTCCTCCTCCTTCCTTCCTTCTTGACAAGGCCTTGCTGTGTAGCCCTGCTAGCCTGAAATTTGCTAGGTGGACCAGGGTGGTCTTAAATTTTTTTTGCATTCCTTCTAACCCTGGCTCCAAGTGCTAGGACTTTGGAGCCAGGGTCTCAGTATTTTGCTCTGCTGGTCTGGAACTCACTATGTAAATCAGGCTTGAATTCCCAGAGATCTGCCTGCATCTGTCTCCTAAGTAGTAGGATTAAAGGCATGCATCGCCACTGCCTGGCTACAGCCATATTTTAAATAAATAAAAGTGGGAGGATGGCTGGTTCAGTGAGGAGAGCTGCTTGACACCGAGCCTGGTGACCTGAGTTTGATTCACGTGGCGGAAGGAGAGAACCGACTGTCCTCCAACCATTGAGCGCATGTGTAGTGCCCCACGATGAATCAGTGTAATGCAACCTGACACTTCACTGTAAGCTGCCCAGGCCAGCCTTGAACATCTAGGCTTAAGCAATGCCCCCATCTCAGCCTCCTGAACAGCTTGGGTTTTATCACACAGCCTCAGGAGTAGCTTTCTTAAAGAGCAGCCCAGTGGCTGTGAATAGGTCTCACTGTAGATCTGATTTACCTTTTTCTTTCTTCTTGTCTGTCTGTCTATCTATCTATCTATCTATCTATCTATCTATCTATCTATCTATCTTTCCTTGTTTTTTGAGTCAGGCTTTTTCTTTGTAGCCCTGGCTACATTTTTGATGGCCAATGATGCTGAATCATTTTCCTGAATCTACTTATGATTTGTATGTCTTTGGGTAATGTGTATTTAAATTCTTTGTCTATTTCTTGTGTTTTATTTCCCCCCGCCCCTGATTAAAATTTTTTTAAAAATTACTTTAATTATGTGTATCAGCATGTGAGTACAGGTACCGCTGTACTTGTAGAGAGGCTGGAGGCATTGGATCTCTTGGAGCTGGTGGTACAGATGGTTGTGAGCCACCATGTGGGTCTGAGAATTGAACTGCAGTCCGTTGTTAGCCCTTAAGTCATTTTTCCAGTCCACTTTTTCTGGATTTAAAAAAATTTTTTTTTTCATTTTTGTTATTTCTTTGGGGGTGGGGTTCAAGATGGCCTTCGCTGTCCTGGACTCGCTTTATAGACAAGGCTGGCCTCGAGCTCACAGATATCTGCCTGCCTCTGGCTCCTGGAGTACTGGGATGACAGGTGTGTGCCACTGTGCCCAGCTCTTGTTATTTCTTGTGCCAAGGGCTCCTTGTTTATCCCTGGCTGTCCTGGAACTCACTACATAGACTAGGCCAGCCTTAGACTCACAGAGATCTACCTGCCTCTGCCTCCGGAGTGCTGGGGTTAAAGGTGTGCCCCATTACAGTGGCTAGATTTTTAAACTCTTATGTGTCTGTGTCTCCATGTGGTGTGTGGATTTGAGTGCAGGTGCCTGCAGAGGTGAGAAGAGGCCACTGGGTCCTCTAAGTCACCTGACTCGGGTCCACTGCAAGTCAGTACATGAGTCAGCACTCCAGCCCTGCTTCTTGATGTTGATAACGACTTTTTATAGGAAGGACACAAGTCTTTGATAAAATGCTATTTACAAATATCTTCTCCCATTCTTTTTACTTTGAAATGCAAAGTCCTGGGCTTTGCGTTACTTTTTGTTGTTGATGTTCTGAGGCAGAGTCTCACTGTGTAGTCCTCTCCATTTGACCTCAAACATTCAGTCCTTGAGCCTCAGTTTTCCTTCCTGAGTGCTGGGAGTATAGGTTTGTGCAGGCATAACCGAGTCTTTTGTCATCGTAGGGTTTCAGATAACCTGGCTGGTCTCCAACTTGGCTATGTAGCTGAGCTTTTAGCCCTAAACCCCTGATCCTCTTACCTCCGCTTTCCTGGCATGGTAAAGGTGTGCACATCATGCCCAGCTTAGTCTTTTTTAATGACTGTCTTTTCAAAATAAGTCATGAACTCTTAAAGTTCTCAAATTCGATGAATTGGTTTCTGAGGCTGATTGACATCTTGGAAACTGCCTCCAAAGCAAAAGTCTTTTTAACCTACTACAGAGCTACAGCCTCAACCCTCTCTTTGCTTTCTGACTGAGGATCCCACTAAGTTGATCAAGCTAACCTTGAACTCATGATCTTCCTGTCTCAGCCTTCCTGGAAGTGCAATAATCATGGAATTATGTACCCTCAAAGAGAGAGGCCTTATGAGTCTTAAACTTTTTGTTAGGTTCATGGAGAAAAGACACTTCTATGAAACTTTATGGTATCAGTTGAAAAGGGGGAAATATGGCTGTGCACAGTGGCACACACCATTCTAACTCTGGAGTAGCAGTGGCAGGCAGAACTCTGTGAGTTTGAAAACAGCTTGATCTACATAGTGAGCTCCAAGCCACCCAGGGCAGCCTAGTGACATCCTGTCTTTAAACCAAACCAAAACAAAAAAAAAGCACCACTACCACCACCAACAAAAATATCCCACAAGGAAGAAATATGAATCCAGGCATGATGATACTTGTCTTTAATTCTAGCACTCATGAGGCCGAGGCAGGGATATTACTAAAAGTTTGTGGTCAGCCTGCTCAAGAAAGAAAGTTCTAGAAATCCAGGCCAAGCAAAGCTATGAGGGGTATTATAATGAGACCCTCTCTCATAAAAAAAAAAAAAAAAAAAAAAAAAAAAAAGGTCTAGAAAGAAAAATAAGCATTCATGTAGTTATGGAATATTATATGGCTAGTCAAATTATACATAGTTTGTATGGCTTTTCTTGGGGGGATTTAAGCAAAATCTGTTCCTCTTAGATAATATGCTGCTGACAGATCAAGGAAATGATTCCACGCACATTTAGCTTGGTGAAGTAGTGTTTGTTGTGGTTACTTACAGGAGTGAGGGAACTTAGTCATTGGCATCACTGCAGACCTCACCCCAGTATGGCGTGGTGAGGACTCATGGAGTTCCTTGCACAACTCTCAGAGTTCTTTCCCTCAGCAATTTATTGCTTATCCCTCAGCAAATCTTTTTTATTTTTGTTAGTTTTTGGAATTTTCTTGAGTTTGATGAGCTTCTCTTCAGGAGAAAAATGTTTCAATCTTAAAGGAAATTGCTACAAATACGTGGTCACAAAAATGATACCCAGAATGAAAGTGTTAGGACGATGTGGATCATGGGAAGCTGGGAACACATGCTACAAACATGTATTCACAAGATGATGCCCAACAGGAAGAGTTAGGAAATAGCTATGGATCCAATGGAAAGGGCTTGAGAGGATGGGCAGGCAGGTGGCTGAGTACAGGCGCCTTCCTCTAACTGGGAGGCTGAGGCAGGAAGATTGCTGCAAATTTAGATCTGGACTACCCAGTCCCAAAAACAAAAAGAAAAGAAAAAAAAAAAAACTGAAAGGCATTGGGACATTTCTCCGCCTTTAAGCTGCCGTAGGGCAGTCCACTGGTGGTTTTTACTGCCCTCTGTCATTCAGAGGCCTGTGTCAGGTTGTCTACACTTGTAAACAGTGCTGGCGTGCACAACACCGAGCAGACCCCAAGGGGGGGCTTTCTAGAAGCGCAGCCATCCTGGGCGACCCCCTGTAGCCTGTGACTATTACACGTATGTCTGGCAGCCCTGTGGGCTAGTGTCCTACGTCGTGGGCATATGTTGGCCATCTCTCCCGCAGGACGACGGCCTGTAGTGGACCATCCAACACCGATGAGACTCCATCTCCTGTTGTGAAAACTTCCATCTTCACTCCGCCTGTTCTACTCAAGTTCCAGCCCGTGCCTAGACCTAAAGATGATTCAAAGAATGACCCTGGCAGTGCAGAGTCCACCCCTGTCAAGAAGAGCCAGTAACCTCTTCCACACAGACCATGCCCCAGGAATGAATAAAATTCTCAGAGAGGTGCATCCTGGTGTTGAGCTGTCCGGGACTTTCATGTCCTCTCTGAGCTTCCATTTGAAACAAGTAGAGTACAGCAACTTGAGCTCCCAGCTAAAGGTTGCATATAATATGTATAGTATGCGTTCAGCCAGTGATGGTGGCATGCACCTTTATTTCCAGCACTTGGGAGGCAAGAGGCAGTCGGGTTTGAAGCTAGCGTGGTCTAAGAGAGGGAGTTCTAGGACAGCCAGGACGACACAGAGAAACCCTGCCTCAAATCCCACTGCCCTTTGTATTTAAGTCAGTACCAAGGTCAGTCCCTTACTTGCACTCCAAGCAATTCCATCATGTTTGAGAGAAGAGGGTGGGAAATATTGTGGTTTTCCTTTCCCTGACTTGTAAGTATACTATATTTTCACTACATGTGTTCTCTATTGTAGTTGTTTGTTTTGTTTTTTTGAGACAGGATTTCTCCACGTAGCCTTGGCTGTCCTGGACTTGCTTTGTGGCCCACGCTGGCCTTGAACTCACAGAGATCCACCTGCCTCTGCTTCCCTGAGTGCTGGGATTACAGCATGAGCCACTGTGCCCAGCTCTACATGTGTTCTTTAAACAAGCCTTGTTTGGTGGGTGTTTTTATTTGGAGAAGAAATGAGTGAGTTTCAGAAATGTGATTCTCATTGTGACCTCACATGCTGGCCTTAGAAGCTGTTCTCCATGTAAGATGTCAGTCATTACAGGACATTAGCAGAAATACTGAGTCATGAAGGATGACCATACCTTGCTTGGGACCATAGATAATAAAAATCAGAACATAGGCAAAATTACTCTGATAAACTATGAGAGAGAGAGAGAGAGAGGAGTGGGGTGTCCAGGAAAGATTACTTTTTCTTCTCTTTTTACTAATTTGTTGGAGACAAGGTCTGACTGTATATTTCTGGTTTGCCTGTTATTTGCTATGTACACCAGGATGTGCTAGAACTCACAGAGATTAACCAGCCTTTGCCTCCCAAGTGCTGGTATTTTGTTTGTTTGTTTTGTTTTTGAGACAGGGCCTCTCTACTAGCTGTATAGATCAGGCTGTCCTCAAACTCATAGAGCTCTGCTTGCCCACTGAACAAGAGTAGAGACCATTGACCCAAAATTTTCAGTTGAATTAAGCAAGCTTTATTTTATGGTCGATGGAGCTATCTCCCTAAAGTGGGGTTTGAGAGAATAGTCTCAAACATAGGAGAATTTAAAAAAAAAAATGATTTTTTTTTTAATGTGCCTTTTTGTTTTGCCTGCATATATGAGGGTATCACCCAGAGCTTGGATTACACACAGCTGCAAACTACCATGTGGATGCTGGGAATTGAACCCTGGGCCTCTGGAAGCTCTGCAAGAGCAGTCAGTGCTCTTTAACCACTTCTTTAACCATTTCTCAAGCCCCAAGATTTCTTCTTTTTTCAGGAGATGTTTCTCCGTAGCCTTAGCTGTCCTGGACTCACTTTGTAGACTAGGCTGGCCTCTCTGAGCGATGGGATCAAAGGTGTGCGCCTCCATGCCTAGCTCTGAGAATTTTTTTTTTTTTTTAACCACAAGGCTATCGGGTTTCCAATGTTTTATGACACTGTAGGAATTTGGCAGGACATTTTAAAATAATTTGGTTGAACATCAAAGTGGAGATTTGGAACAGAGGACAGGGAGATTGAAAATTCTTTGATCAGATGTGTAGACAAGAACTTGACTGCTGGAGAGGTGGTTTAGAGGTTAAGAACAGTGTCTGCTCTTCCAGAGGTCCTGAGTTCAATTCCCAGTAACCACACGGTGGCTCATAACCATCTATAATGAGATCCAGTGCCCTCTTCTGGAGTGCAGGCAGGCAGAACACTGTATATATAATTTAAAAAAATCTAATAAAAGGACTTTACATGTAGTTAGTCAACTGCCAGTGATTTGACTTTGGGAGAGTGTAAGTGGTGTTTAAAACCACAAGCTTAAGTTGGGCAGTAGTGACGGAGAGGCAGGTGATCTCTAAGTTCGAGGCCAGCCTGGTCTTAAAAAAACCAAAGAGAAAGAACGCACAACAAACCCACAAGCTTAGTGGGCTGGAGAGGTGGCTCAGTGAGTAAGAACACTGGCTGCTCTTCCAAAGGACGTTCAGTCAATTCCTGGCACCCACATGGCAGCTCACAACCATCCGTAATTCCAGTTTCATGGGATCCAACACCCTCAGACAAAACACCTATGCAGGCAAAACATCAATGCACATAAGAAATATAAACAGCAAGGTTAGGCTGGAGAGTTGGCGTAGCTGCATAAGCTGTGTAAAAGCTGCGTAAGCCTGGCAAGGAGAACCAACTCCTCAAACTTGTCATCTGAGCATACACTCCACTTTAAAAAGGAAACTCCGGACAAACTCGCCAGGGCCTTGAGTGTAGACAGGAGACCCAGACCAAGGATCTGGCCCCAGGGAAGGAAGCAGAAAGGGTATACGAGACCAGGGAGTGCTTGATTACCTGCCACCTGATGGGTCTGGAGGGCATGGGGACCGAGTGAGAGAGAGGAGTTGGGTACAGTGGAATGGACACGGTTATGAAGAAGGGTCAAAAGACTGAAGGCCTTCAGATATAAGGGAGGGCAAGTCTGAGCGAGTCTGGCTAGCACAGCATGGAGTGGACAAAGTAGCCGGACAGTGGCTAGAAGTCTTAGAGAAGTCGGGACGGCGGCCGGTGGGAAACAGGAAAAATGGATTCTACTAAAAGCCTCAGTCCCGCCAAGTGGCCCGGCCAGCACGTACCCTGGGCACCTGGAAACTACAGTTCCCAGAACGCCTACTTCCAACTTCCGGCACCCGGTGAGTCGAGCTCCGGAAGTAGTTGAGAGAGCGGAGGCGCCAGAGTCTGAGAGTCGGCTGCGGCGGTTTCGGGTTTACCTTCACCATGGGGAAGCGACAGCACCAGAAAGACAAGATGTAAGTTGGGTCGCACCTCTCGTCTCAGCTGTCGCCGTCCTGAAGGTCTCAGCTCTCGCAGGCGCCGCGTTGTCCCTCAGCGCGGCCTCCGCGGGTCAGGGCGTTCTGCTGGCCGGACTCTCTTCTGGGGTTTGCCCCTACCGCCCTCCGTTTCTGCCCGCGAGCTTTGCCCGAAAGTTGGTTGTCCTGCATAGCCAGGCCGCTTACACACTGGCCTTCTGCTCAAGACTAGCGGGCCGTCCTCCACGTTCCTCTCCATTTGCTACCGTACTTGTCTGTTTTCTGTAACTAGTGTAGTCGTTCTCCCCGCCTCAGCCCCAGACCGCTTGCAAGGAAGGGTACCTTTGATTTCTGTATTGCCAAATCTAGTGTTCAGCTTTCAGTCTTTGGGCTTCTTCCCTTTCCTAAGCCGGCCCTTAGTGGGATCTTTCATGCGTTTTGCTTTTTAATCTGCGTCAGTCATCTCTCTTTTTTCATTCTTTTTTGCTGGGCTTCCCCTCCCCTGGTCCCAAACCTCATGGCTATCGCCTTAATTTCTGTTCCCTGGCTGATCTGTTCTAGTCGTCTGAGTTGATCTCTCTCGCGTGCACTGTCAGCTGTTTCACTTAGTTCTTTGCTTGGAAAACTTACAGCTTTCTCAAAATTAGTATGCCTAAAAGGGAACTCTTGGTCATTTTAACACGTAAGCCTGCAGTGTGCCTGTCCTGTCCTAGTGGTTACATATTAAGTCCCTGATTTACTATATGTAATCGGAAGACAATCCCCACAGTGGACAGTAACACAGTAGAAACCTGCACACAGCGACTGGAGCTATGTTAGATCATGTTTGGGTCCCAGCAGCGTCATCACACGTAAGGCAAATATAGAGTGCTTTCCATGATCTTTAAGACTCGTTTGTGGCTCAGCCACCGCCCTGTCTGTCTGCTGCCACATACCTCATGACGCTCTCCTCCAGTATCTCCTTTCTGGAACACATCCAGCTTGTCCTGCCTCCAACCTCAAAAACTGTTATTCCTGCAAAGGGCTCCCCCAGACCTCAGTATGCCCGACTCTTTCTCCCTTGCAGATCTAGAAATCCAGTTCACTTCCTTCAGGGAAAGGCACTACTGATGTTTATGTATCTTTGTTTTCTGTGCTTATTTATGTGCCTGACACTGAAGATGTTTGACGTGCCCTTGGCAAGTGAGTGACAGTTCTGGCATAAGTTACTTCTGTAGCCTGTCTTCTCTGTGATGTGAACTAGAAATATCCTCTGTTTTCCTCAGGTACATCACTTGTGCTGAGTACACTCACTTCTATGGTGGCAGGAAGCCAGGTAAGGGGGTGCTGGTGGTCTGAGGAATGCTGTCTGTAGGAATGCCTGCATGTATGTCTGTGTGAGGGTGCCAGATCCCCTGGAATTGGAGTTACAGACAGTTAGGAGCGGCAATGTGGGTCCTGGGAATTGAACCTGGGTCCTCTGGAGGAGCAGCCAATGCTCTTAACTGATAAGTTGTCTCTCCAGCCTCATAAATATATATATATAATTTTTTCTTTTTAAAGGTAGTCTTTTTATATAGCTCAGGCTGGTCTTTTTTTGATGTTTGTTGTAATTTTTAAAAAATTTATTTACTTTTTTATTAATTACAGTTTATTCACTTTGTATCTCAGCTGTAGCCCTCTCCCTCATCCCCTCCCAATCTCATCCTCCCTCCCTCTTCTTCTCCTATGCCCCTTATCAGGCTGGTCTTGAACTCAAGATCTTTCTGCTTTTGCCTTCCCAGTGCTGGAATTATAGGCATGTGCCACTGTGCCCAGCCATAGTCACAGCTGTAATGTTAGTAAAGAATGTGTGCTTTAAAAATAATTCTGTTTGGGGTGGGGAGGGAAGATGGGACTGGGAGGGGAGGAGGGATGGGGCTACAACAAGGATGTAAAGTAAATTAAAAAATAAGTAAAAATTAAATAATTCTTTGGGGCTGGGTGTTGGTGGCACATGCCTTTGATTCAGCATTCGGGAGGCAGAGGCAGGTGGGTCTCTGAGTTTGAGGCCAGCCTGGTCTACAGAACGACTTTCAGTACAGCCAAGGCTACATGGGGAAACCCTGTCTTGAAAAAACAAAAAGAAAAAAAAAATTCTATGAGCCAGGCAGTGGTGGCATACATCTTTGATTCAGCGCTCAGGAGGCAGAGGCAGGTGGGTCTCTGAGTTCAAGCCCAGCCTAGTCTACAGAGTGAGTTCCAGGTCAGTCGGGCCTGCCCTGAGAAACCATGTTTCAAAAAACCGGAGGGGGGAAATCTATACTTTGCTCAGCCCATTTGAAGACACCTGTTTTTGAACCCGTGTCCTGGTGCCTGCATGCTAGGCAAACACTTTTCTCCAGGTCAGGAATATGTGGTTTTTTTCTTGTGTTTTAGGAATTTTGAAATGCTGGAGATCAAATCCAGGGCCTTGCATATGCTAAGCAAACGTTCCACCACTGAGCTACAGCTACAGTCACTCTTAAGAAAGGCTTTTTTGAAAAATGTAAAACTTTATTATTGTATATATGAGCGCAGGTGTGGGTATGCCATGATCCCTATGTGGATGTCAGAGGAGGCCAACATCATAGACTTGGCTCTCCCATCTTTTTGTAGGTCCCAGGAATTGAACTCAGGTGGTCAGGTTTACATGGCAAGAGCCTTTATCCACTGACTCATCTTGCTGGCCCTCTGAGGGTTTTTGTTTTGCTTTGCTTTGTAGCTCAGGCTAGCCTATACTGTGTACTCCAGACAAACCTTGAACTTGAGATTCTCTTCTGTCAACTTCTTGAATACTAGGATTACAGGCATGGTACTTTTATTCTTGCTTTAAAGATTCCCTTACTTGATGTATGAGTGTTAGTCTGCATATATACGCACCCGGCTGTGTCTGCCCTGGGAGGCCAGGAGAGGCACTGGAGCCCCTGGAACTGGAGTGATACTGTGAGCCACCACGTGGATGCTGGGAATTAAACATGGATTCTCTGAAAGAGCAGCCAGTGCTCTTAAGCACTGCGCCATCTCTAGCTCTTTGATTCGTGTTATGATAATATCAAAAGAGTCTGTGTGAAGCCAGGGTTAGAGGTTCATGTCTTTAATCCTAGGACAGCCAGAGCACACAAAGAAACCCTGTCTCAAAAAAGCAAACAGAAAGGTTCTCCATGTGTGTATGTATGAGTGTGTGTGGGGGGGTGCACGGGTGTTTGGAAGCTGGAGGTTGACATTGGGTGTCTTCCTCTGTTGATTATCCATCTTCAAAAAAAGTAATGTTTTTCATATCATTTTGCATTATATTTTATAAGGCTTGTTTATATGTATGTGTGAATTTGTATGAGTATATGACACATACATGTGGGTGCCCTGGAGGCCAGAAGAGAGTGGGTGCTGTGAACCCGGCCCTGGTTGTCCATAAGAACATCAAGTGTTTTTAACCTCTGAGCTATTTCTCCAGCCCATTGTTTGTTTGTTTGTTTGTTTTCAAAACAGGATCCCTATGTGGCCTTGGCTGTCCTGAAACTCACTATGTAAATCAAACTGGCCTTGAACTCACAGACATTCACCTGCCTCTGCATCCAGCTGCTGGGATTAAAGGTGTGCTTCACTGCCCAGCCTGCCTCTTGTGGAGACAGGGTCTGTCATAAACCTCAAGCTCACTGATGGGCTGGTTTGTCGGTCAGTTTTTTCTGTTTCTACCTACAGTGAAGTACACTCTTAGCCACTGAGCCACTTCTCTAGCACCTATTTTTATTATTTTTAGGTGAGAGAGTGAGTGAATGAGAGAGAGACTGTGTGTGTGTGTGTGTGTGTGTGTGTGTGTGTGTGTTTGTATGTGTGTGTATCTATGTGTGTGCTGACACCTGCCCTTAGAGGTTCTCTGGTGAGTTTCAGGCAGTTGTGAGCCACCTATGTGGGTGTTCAAAACTAAATTCAGGTCTTCTGCAAGAGTGGGATGCCAAACCACCTTTCTAGGCCCCCACCAAAAAGGTTTTTCCCCTTCTTTGTGTAGCCCTGGCTGTCCTGGAACTCTCTGTAGACCAGGCTGGCCTCAAACTCAGAGATCTGGCCTCTGCCTCCAGAGTGCTGTGATTAAAGGTGTGTGCCACCACTGTCAGCAGCTACCAAAAGATTGTTAATATAGGCCAGAAGGTATAGCTCAATCATACACCTAGCATGTAGTGTATACAAGGCCCTGAGTTCGATCTCCAGCGACACATAACATTCTTCTCTCTCGAAACAGCAGCAGCAAAAGATTTAATCCATAGTAATGTAGATTTTTGTTGTTGTTGTTTTGTTTTTGGTTTTTGAAACAGGGTTTCTGGGTGTAACAGTCCTAGCTGTTTGGAACTTGATTTGTAGACCAGAGACCCACCTGCCTTGGCCTCCCAAGCGCTGGGATCAAAGGTGTGTGCCACCACACCTGGCAAACTAATGTAGTTTTAATGGTAGGCATACATAGATGAAATATTTCCAAATAAGTTTTCTGTGTTTTATTTCATTTTAAACAGAAACAACACAGACAGCTTTTCGCCGCTTACCTTTTGATCACTGCAGGTAAAATCTTTAAAGCCTTCTGTTTTCTTTTGGTTAAGTATCATTTCTCCCAAATTATGTGTGTGTGTTTTAAGGTAGGGTCTTTTAACTCTGTAGCTTGGGCTGGCCTTGAACTCTTAATTCTCTTACTGTTACCTCCCAAGTATTAGGCTGTCATACCTGGGTCTGGAGTATATTTGCATAGATTTTTGCATAGACAGTTGATCATGCTTGATCTGAAAAATTCAAAATTTAAAATATTCCCAAATTCAAAACTCTTTGAAGCCTGATGTGATACTAAGAAAGTTAAAATTTGGAGCGTTTTGAATTTTCAGTTTAGGAATGTTCGACCTGTGCCATTTGTGTGAGCTTGACCCTTTGAGATACATGCAGGGATTTTTCTGTGCTTCTCAAGATAACACTGAACTGGGAGAAAGTGGCTCAGCCATGAGGACAGTGTATGAGTATTTCCTGCTTATTGTGTCTGTGTTTACCAGTTTTACTTTTTAGCTTCATTCATACCTTCTGAGGTTGGCTAGACCCTATTGTTAACCTATTTTATGGCTGAGAGGATTAGTGCTTAGAAGAGACAGTGCCCTGTTTTTAGTGGTTTGGTATCAGGGCCAGAAGGTACTGGAACTGTTGGGAAGGTTGTGGGAACCATAGAATGCTCAATACGCCTATTGAGCCTGGTCAATAAGCTGACCAGGAATTTCTTTCTTTTTCAGTCTCTCTCTGCAGCCTTTTGTCTACCCAGTCTGCACCCCGGAAGGTATCGTTTTTGACTTGCTGTGAGTTTCTTCTTGAATTTTTAATTTTTTTTTCTATTTAATTTAGACATTTTATTGCAAGGTAGAGTATTTTTACAGACAACACATAGTGACTAATATTAAATGTACCTCTAGCCTTATGTATGTGCATATATAATATGCATGTATAGTACAACAAAAATATATTTTGTAAGTGTAACATAATTCAGATCTGTGAAATAAAGGTGCACACTTGAATAAAAGCAGTTTCCTTGAAGTTTACCTCTATTTAACCTTCCTCTACTGCATGAACTAACAAGAAGTATTCAAAAGTACTATACAAACTAGTTATCCCTATCTATCTATCTATCTATCTATCTATCTATCTATCTATCTATCTATC